CCCTCACACTCCAACAAGGGTTTGCCCGGGCCCCCAAATATCATTCGCCTCCATTTAAATCCTATCCCAACAGGGTCATGCCCCTTTCTGGAAGTCCAAGCCCCTAGCCCACAAAACCTCCCTTTAACCCCCCCCTTTTTCCCAAACCCCTTTTGAGGACGAAAACCCCCACCCCCCCTTTTCCCTTCCCCCCATAGATTTATAAAGCTTTCCAGTCCCTTCCACTTTTTATCCATTCTCTCTAAATGCCAAACCACCTCAACAACCCCTCTTCTGCCTTCTGACTAATGCTTTTATTAACTCCACACCTTCTCCTAATTTCCACACTCCGAATTTTCTGCATAATATTTACACCACAAAATTGCCCTTAGACAGGACATCTCCACTGCCTCCAACCGTCTCCTCGCTGCTGCATTTACCACCCAAGCTTCCCCACCCATATAAGAGTGTTTGGTACTACTATACTTTCATACATTCCCTTCTTTCCTCCATAGAAAAACGTTTTTTTGACTCCACAAATACCTCAAACGCACCACTCACCTTTTTTTCCCTAAATCAATTCTATGATTAACCTCATCCTTCATAAATCCATCCGCCGACACGTCAACTCCCAAGTATCTGAAAACTTTCCCACTTCTTCCATACTACTCCTCCCCAATTTGATATTCAATTTTTCTTAAAATCTAAATCATTTGATACCCTCATCACCTTACTCTTTCTATGTTCACTTTCAACTTTCTACCTTTACACACATTCTCAAACTCATCCACTAACCTTTGCAATTTTTCTTTAGAATCTCCCATAAGCACAGTATCATCAGCAAAAAGTAACTGTGTCAATTCCCATTTTGAATTTGATTCCCCATAATTTAATCCCACCCCTCTCCCGAACACCCAAGCATTTACTTCTTTTACAACGTTGAAGATTGAGACACTTATGCAGCATATGGGAATCTTTATTCAGGAAACGTTTCGCCACACAGTGGCTTCATCAGTCCAATACAAAGAGGAAGGCGTAAGGAGAGGAGGAAAATGAGGCAATCAGTCCCTCAACCTGGAGTCGATGTGTTCAGTCCATCAATCTTGTAGAATGTACAAGGCGTAAGGAGAGGAGGAAAATGAGGTAATCAGTCCCTCAACCTGGAGTCGATGTGTTCAGTCCATCAATCTTGTAGAATGTACGGGTCGATGTGTTCAGTCCATCAATCTTGTAGAATGTACATTCTACAAGATTGATGGACTGAACACATCGACTCGTACATTCTACAAGATTGATGGACTGAACACATCGACTCCAGGTTGAGGGACTGATTACCTCATTTTCCTCCTCTCCTTACGCCTTTCCCATATGCTGCATAAGTGTCTCAATCTTCAACTTGTCGGTTTTTCAAACCATTCATCACATTCTTTTACAACCCCATCTATAAATATATTAAACAACCATGGTGACGTTACACATCCCTGTCTAAGACCTACTTTTACCGGGAAGTATATATATATATATATATATATATACACATATATACATATATATGCAATAAGATCACAGTGATAATGTGAGTAGTCACGAAAGCGCTTGGAATTTCTCTATTCTTTCAGAGTGGTTGATTTGCATATATATATATATATATATATATATATATATATATATATATATATATATATATATAATATATATATATATATATATATATACACATACAAACGCTAATCTCAGGCCGACGGACACTCGAACCTACGAACCTTGGAATAAGGTACGCAGTGCTTTACCACCGTAACATTACCTTGGCGCCCACATAACGCTGGACGTTTTGGTCCAAGGCAGCCAGCTGTCAGGCTAGTGGCTTTCAGCATTTCACCTCATCCCTGCATGCGTCGACCGACGAGAAAACGTCCTTTTTAGTGCGTGTGGATCATCAAAGAAAATTTTATGATGGGGCAAACTTTAAGAAATATCACAACACCGTAACGTTTGCCATAGCGAAGAGTTGCTGGCCAATAAAAGGCAGCTGTTGTAATTAGGTCAAAGAAAGGGAACGCTGATCATATGTAGGATTCTGCCTAGGAGTGGGAAGTGCGTGGATATCTAAGGTGATTGGTGTAAATTACTAATTACACAAGTATTGCAGAGAACTTGAAATTACATTCATTGAAAACAGATAATTTCTATGGCAAACATGATATGTAACAAAGGGATGGGGGTAGCATTAGCTAATTCAGTCAAAAGAGCCGTTGTTAAACTCTGTAAACTCAGCATTGTAATCCTTATAGAGAAAAAACTTTGAATTGAATTGAGTAAAATAAGTACAGGCAGGCCCCACTTTACAGCGCTTTACTTTACAGCATTTTGCTAATACAGCGATTTTCAATTATACCCATTGTTTATTTATTCAGACTTCGTACAATTAATGTATTCACCACTCACTATTATCTAAGAACAAAAAATATCTTAAGGTAAGTAATGTGTGCACTGTGTATGCATTTTTTAGGTCTAGCTATATTGCTCACTTAATATATGATATTGTAAACATGTTATTAGGCTTCTAAACTCATTTGAAAGTGAAAAAAAGGCTATAATTCACTTTACAGCAGTAGCCTGGAACCTAACTAGCTGTATCAGCGGGGCCCTCCTGCAAAAGGAAGGAAAGAACTAAATATTGAAGCAGTAGACAACTAATCCTAATTTCTGCGCGTCAGGTTTGTGACTTGGGACTCGCGGTAAAATTTCTTAACTTCAGGGATGCATTTAGGAACGAGGTGGCAGAGAGAGAAAAAAGAAAGAAAACGCTCAGATCAACATTCTTCACTCATTTCACGAAAACTGGCTGCGGTAGAAGCTGATTCGAGGCAGGGAGTTAGTAAATTTATTTAGCCACAGGTACACACGTACGTTCAGTCATCACACGTAGTGTAAATTACTTGGATAACTCCGAAAAAGTCAGTCGGTGACTTGTTTCAAACATAGATTTTCGCACCATTCCTAAAATGTTAGTAAAAAGAATTCATTGCAAAATCCCTGGAAAAAGACAGCTCGGTGTCTTGTGAGGTCCAACCTGGCTGTCACCTCCACATTGTTGCACTCGTCCAGGGAAGAAGGAAGCTGCAGCAGAACAAATTTACTCTGGCAACAAGATCGACGAAGTGACTGGTGGAGGTGATCCCAGTCAGGTGATCCCAGTCAGGTTATCCAGTCAGGTTATCTCAGTCAGGTTATCTCAGTCAGGTTATCTCAGTCAGGTGATCCCTGCTCTCTCTCTCTCTCTCTCTCTCTCTCTCTCTCTCTCTCTCTCTCCTCTCTTCCTCTCTCCTCTATCTCATTAAGGCTAATTCTCATCCGTTTTTCTATACCTAGTTCCTCATAATGGAGGACCCCTCAAGGAAGGTTCCTTGATGTTGGTGAGGGGCTCTTGATTTAGGGAATTGGATCTGTGCTCCAGTTCCCCGAATTAAGCCTGAATGCCTTCCACATCCCCCCCCAGGCGCTGTATAATCCTCCGGGTTTAGCGCTTCCCCCTTGATTATAATAATAATCATAATGGAGGAACACGGAACTCCTTGTATTAACCTCTTTCTCAAGTGGGCAGGTAGGGTTGGAACACCATTACATCCCCTCTCCTCTCCCCCCCCCCCCCCCAAAAAAAAGTAATCAAGTCGGAAGATGGTTCTTCTTCACTGGATCACGAGCACTTCGTTAAGTTACTTCTCTTGAAGGGAGTAACATGTGTAAAAGCCAAGTAAGGATCAAGCTTGCACAATAAGAACATTTACTGTCCCTGTTAGGTAAGACACATATGCAACAGTTAGACAACTTTATTCCGAAACGTTTCGCCTACACAGTAGGCTTCTTCAGTCGAATACAGAAAGTAGGCAGGAACAGTAGAGATGTGAAGACGATGTAATCAGTCCATCACCCTGGACAACACCTTGGACAAGCTTTTAAGTGAAAAAGGGTTGGATCTGAGAGGGACATGACCTCTCACTGGCTACATTTTCACTACTACTACCTCTCTGCACCTCTCCTTCCGACAGTATTTAAGTCTCTGCACTGTCGCTTGATCTTCAGATAGTTCCTGACTATGGAACTGAACTGCTCCAGGCTGAGGGACTGACAACCTCAAATTCTACGACTTCAAGGGTGATGGACTGATTACATCGTCTTCACATCTCTACTGTTCCTGCCTACTTTCTGTATTCGACTGAAGAAGCCTACTGTGTAGGCGAAACGTTTCGGAATAAAGTTGTCTAACTGTTGCATATGTGTCTTACCTAACAACCTGTCGGTATTGTATACCATTTTGATGTTCATTTACTGTCCCTGTTCACCTAGCAGTATGTAGGTACCTGGGTGTTAGTCGACTGTTCTGGGTTGCATCCTGGGGGATGGTAGTATACCTCAGATAGGGCTGGGCTTTGAAATGGGCAGAGGTAAGATAACAGCTCTTAGACTGTAAAATTGGTTTTTGTAAAAAAAAGTGTGTACTTTAAGACCACCCTTAGGCTAAAAAAAATACTTCCTGACATTGCTGTGATTCATATTTTTTTTCTAATTTCCAACTGTTCCCCCGAGTACCTGTTTCCCGCCTCTCAAACAGCCTATCCCTATCTATCCTATCACTTCCTCTCAGTATTTTGTATGCAGTTAATTACCTTGTTTCAAATGATGCAATGATACCAGTGATGGGCTCGTGGTCCAAGGAAACAGAGCGACCCTCCCTTCCCTCAGATCGAAGCTGATTGTCTCTCATTCCCCAGTCACTATGTGAACCATACGGATTTAGCGCTTCTCCCATGGCTCTAACAATTACAAATAATTAATTACAGCCAGCTTTAGTATTGTTACCATCACTGTTACAGGAGAAAATAATTCAGATTCATCTGGAGAAATTTATTCCATTCAGTTTATAAATCACAGGTGACTAAAGATATATATGCAATAAGATCACAGTAAACAGGTGATAGCACAATATACAAAACAACCACTGTGAAAAAAAAGTGAAATTCCAAGTGCTTTCATGATTTCTCACATTATAAAGGACCTGTGATAATGTGGGAAATCACGAAAACGCTCGGAATTTCTCTATTTTTTTCACACTGGTTATTTTGCTTATATAACCATATATATCATAATAATACATGAACTCTCTGGGAGCTCCTTTTTCGTTGCATATTCCTGTTTCTTAACGAGTAGGCTGTAGTATTATAGTTTTGTGTGTCTGGCAACACTGTTGACCAATGTTGACGTTCCTCAGGCAATGTGTGGCTGTTCTGTTCTACACTCGACTATTGCTTCGTTTTTTCTTCTGTTACGGCGTACGTTGAGTATTCGTTATACCCGGGCGTAAGAAGAGGAGCAGACGGAGGAAGTAGCTATGTTAAATGAAGATGGAAGTGAGGAGAACGATGCTGAACTGGTCAAATAACACGTGGATGGTCGGGGCTGAACCACTCCAAGGTAATCTGGAGTTTAAGTTGATTTAAGTGCAAAGTTTACGTAGTTTTTGGGTGATTACATAGCATGGATGATTGTATTGGATGACATAGCATGGATGATTGTATTGGATGACATAGCATGGATGATTGTATTGGATGACAGCATGGATGATTGTATTGGATGACATAGCATGGATGATTGATTGTATTGGATGACATAGCATGGATGATTGTATTGGATGACTGGATTACATAGGATAACACACAAAAAAGTCACACATCCATTCCATCCTGCTGCTAAATATTTCATAATGAAATCAGTATAATAGTTTATTAATGATTCAAACATCCCTGAAGGCGAGAGTGCCTTGATGCTGACGTGGAGCTCTTGATCCAAAGAGAATTCGAGCCACTCTTCCCTTCCTCGAATCAAACCGAATAAATTCCCCCACCCCCACCCCTCCTGTGGAAAATTACATTTACCTGGATGAATCTCATTACATACATACAAGTACATGGTAACAAAGATAATTATTATTTATCAAAGTTACAGAGACAAGTAGGAATTTTTAGGACACCTAGGTCGCAAAAATGTCCCCCTTCGATACCTACCATCTATCTCTTCACAAGTTGCTCTAGACCTATATTAATTGCAAATGAAATGTACATACACACCAGGAATTCTGGTAAAATTATAATTTTTGTGGACTGTATATTAAAATTAATAAATTATTACATATACACATTTATATAACAGAAGGAGAATATATAATCATAACACTCACCAATTAGTCTGGAGATTACTGTGTATAATACTCAAAAACCTCCCTCTAACTAAATTTGTGATGATAATACTGGCCAGAATTACAAACATAATTTAGATAGGTTATCTGAGGTTCCTGGAGCTGTCCTGTACATCGATTTAATGCTCAAATTATGCAGAAATGCACATCCAACAATTTCGGCTCCTATTTGAGAGGTATAAGCCCAATATAACGTTTTCTTGGCTCATTCAAAAAACATGGCGAGTCTCCTTGCTCGTCCGCGCAGGCGCCGAGTTTCCCAATTTTTATAATATAATTTTTATTAAATACAATATAGGCCATCAATTTACATATAAAATACTGTATTTCCGGAAAATACATACAGTATTTTTCCACACCTCCCATTCCCCCAGATCTAATATGGTCCTTACGGGTTTAGCAGTTTCCCACGTATGTGATAGTTCGTTTTGAGTTATGTCTCACCACCCAGAGTGTTCTTTATTATCTCGAGAATGAATAATTAAACCATTTAACATGGTCATTTGGTTTGAAGCCTCTCAACTACACAAGGGTTATTAATAACAACAACATATGGATGTAATGTTATATTCTGTAAAAACACAATTAAACTCTCACTGGGACTAAGTGTGTGTGTGTTTAAATTACTTTTTATAGGCTTTCATTAACCTGTTCACCAGTCAAAGATACTTCAATCCCTAAAAGAAGACTTTCCATGTTCATACTGTGAGATGCACACCTATTTTTGTGTACACTTTAAATGCTATTTTTCTTTATCGCCATTTTGGTTTAACTTCCACTCACATGACCCCTCAAGGAAGGTTCCTTGATGTTGGTGAGGGGCTCTTGATTTAGGGAATTGGATCTGTGCTCCAGTTTCCCAAATTAAGCCTGAATGCCTTCCACATCCCCCCCAGGCGCTGTATAATCCTCTGGGTTTAGCGCTTTCCCTTGATTATAATAATAATAATCCACTCACATATTTCTGTATATCGTTATCAGTTTTATAAAACTTAAATTAGTTTTTTTTTCATTTAACACATTTTATTGTATATTTTATTTTACTAAGAGTGGAAGAAATATTCACTAAGGTGTATATATATACTCCCATTATGTCACATTCAAGACGTTGTTTGAACGTTGGATTAGGTGTGGCTTGTAGTAATAGCCTGATTGACCAAGCCCTGATCCACCGGGAGGTCTGGTCATGGGTCGGGCCTCGGGAGCGTTGACCCCTGGAACACCCTCCAGGTAGACTCCAGGTGTGATGGTCTTGTAAATGATTTCAGGATAATCCAATTAAGTCAGGTACTGACTTATTTTCATTGGAATCCATGAAGAAGTATTAGTAGCCCCCGGCGGGACACCACCTACAGTTTCTGGCTAATGGTAGAGAACAATGCATTTTATTGTTACTGATGATCCCAAATAAAAGATAAATCTTAGGAACATCTCACTTGAATTGCCTAATTATATGACCTTCTCACTCAGCCCCCCCCCCCTGTGTGGTGTGTGTGTGGTACTCACCTATCTGTGTTGCAGGGGTCGAGTCCTACCCCTGGCCCCGCCTCTTCCCGGTTGCACTAGGCCCTCTCTCTCCCGCTCCATGACTTTATCAAACCTCTTAAAACGGGTTATAGGATCCCTTCGACAAAGTCATTCTAGCTATCCCACTGCCTTACAACTCTATGGAACTGTAAGAACAATACTTCCTACTATTGTTACTGATATGTGTCTCAACTGTCAATTTGTGCCTCTTGTTTTCGTGTCCCTCTCCTGAACATCCCCTGCCTTGTGTGTGTGTGTGTGTGTGTGTGTGTGTGTGTGTGTGTGTGTGTGTGTGTGTGTGTTGTGTGTGTGTGTGTGTGTGTGCGCGCGCGGAGCTATTAGGCTACAGGGATCACCGCCCTCTGTGGCCTAATCCCAGACCAAACCTCTTGATTTGTTGACCTGATCGACCAGGCTGTTGGCACCAGCCACACGCAGACCAGCATATACACCACAGCCCAGCGGATCAGAAAGTGACTTGAATTTGCCAATTTCTGCTCTTGTTGACATGCTCCAGCTCTCTAGTATCGCTTTCCTTGAAAGGGGCCGTTAATGTATAGCAATATTCCAAGTTGGAGAGAAGGGATCTGAAGAGTATTACATTAGCTTGGCGTATCTTGTTCTAAATGTTCTAGTTATCTAGCTTAACATTTTCCTTGCGGCTGTGATAATTGTTGTGATCATTGAAATTTCCACTTAATATTATCACTCTCAAGCTTCTCTCTTTTGAATGATTCAAGTTTGTGTTACCCTCCGATCCCGTCTTTATTCCCTCACTTTTTTCATATCGGAGTAACTGAAATTTGTCCTCGTTGAATATCATATTGTTGTCAGTATCCCACTGGAAGATTTGATTTATATCAAGTTGGAGGTTCTCCTGGGTCTTCACTGACACCACTCGCACAGATTTTGGTATAGTTTCCAAGGGATGATACAGTCCTATGATTTATTTTCTCATCTGTGTCGAATATAAGAACGAGTAAGAGAAGTTAGGCGAGTACTGTGCCCTGAAGAACAAAGCTTTCCACTTTATTATTATTCTTTGGGTTCTGTTCATTGGGAAGTTAAATATCCATCTGCCCATTTTTCAGTTATTCTTATTTACACGCATTTTGTGCTTATTTTTTGCACCGTGGTCTCCCTTGTGTAACGCTTCTGCAAAGTCTGTGTGCATTGTTGATACATTCTGTTGCCTTTCAGTGCCTCCAAGACCATGTCCTATCAAGTAATGGTTCAGCAGTTTCAAAAACCAGGAGAAACCTATTCTAAACCCATTTTTGCCGTGAATTGTACAGTTGCGATACCAGGTGATTGGGCAGCCTTATTCCTAAAAACTCTTACAGAGATCTTGATAATACGTAACGTTAACCCTATTTTTTATAGTATTTTATAATTGCTTTACAGTTGTCTCTAATGGTGTCATGCAATTCTTAAATATTGAGCTCCAAGAGTCTGGGGCAAAGTACATGAGCAGGCTGCCAATGGCTTCTTTGACTCGAAAAAAGTAGGGTTATGCCAGAAATTATGGAGGTGTCGGCAGCATTTTGAATCTCATTAATTAGAAACTCGTTTGTTGTCTATCTTTACCTAGCTAAAGTGTCGCTGAATGCAGTCTTATTGTGGCTACATTGTTTCACTCATTACATTGTTGTCGTCATTGTACGTACCATTCTCCTGGATGCTGTTTTTTCCCTGGAATTTGCGTATAAGAAAGTATTTTGAATTTCTTAAAATTTTATTTGGTTTTTGTCCCTCTTTCCTGGACTCTACGTGGAGGATTGTCTCAGCTCGGTAGTCTATAATTCTTTAACCACTGTCACTTTTTCGTTCTTCAAAGTAAGTTTGCAGTCTGAAAATGAAATGACATCTTTTTAGCTTTCATACTCCTTTTTCATTAATGGAACGTGTCTGGAGTATACTTTTCATGACTCTGAGCTCTCGAGATACGTGGCGTAAGTGTCCTATATTCGACACATGTTCCATACCAGATATTCATTATTTGTGAATACAAGGTCAAGGGTATTTTCTTGTACAGTTTGTTAGCTTAGTGTGAGTGTGCAAGACTGCTTTCTGAAGTGACTCCTGGCATTTTCTCTGCTATACTTATGGGGTAGGGTTTGACTAAGTTTCAAGACAGTATACGATTTTAAATAGTTGGTCTTCGAATTGCTGGGAAGTTGCATCTGGTATTTGTATACTAACAAAATAAATGATATTTTTCTGCCAAAATTTCAATTACATCCGTTGTGGTGTAACTCAGTGCAGCTGAATAAATCTTTAACCCCCCCCCCCCCATCCTTCCTTGTAGCCGGATTTTTGCTCATATCTTGGTAGATTGTTCCAGGTATCCATATTTCACTCAGAGTAATCTGTGACAGCTGCAAACACTGTATTTGTCTGTGAGGAATCCACGTATAAACAGTTTAAGACCTTATACTGATTTAAGACCTTGTTTGTAAACATAATGATATTACTTTGATTCACGAAATCGTAATGACACGATTGCAAACAAACCATACCACGGGTGGGGTTTCAACCCGCGGTCAGAGTCTCAGTATTAGCCAGCTGGCCCAGTGGCTAACGCAACGGTCTGGAGTTTTGAGACACACTGACCGCGGGTTCAAGTCCCACCCGTGGTATGGTTTACATTATTACGTTATTTGTTGCACCGAGGCCTTTTTTTTTTTTTTTTTACTCTTAATATTTGTGGAGCTGACGAGTAAGTCACTGGGTTTGTTTAAAATAGCTTCGAGTGTGAGAATGCTGCCACCGTTTGTGGGCAAGATTCCTGGGACTATTTGTATGCGTGGGTGCACGATGTGTGACTGAAGAAATACTTCCTAACATCCCTGTGGTTCATCTGAGTTTTCAGCTTCCAACTGTGACCTCTTGTTGCTGTGTCCCATCTCGGGCGCATCCTCTATCTGTCCACCTTGTCGATTCTCCTCAGTATTATATATGTCGTTATCATATCCCCCCTGTCCTCCAGTGTCGTCAGGTCGATTTCCCTTAATTAACCTCTCCTCGTAGGACATTCTCCTTAGCTCCGGGACTAGTCTTGTTGCAAACCTCTGCACTGTATCTAATTTCCTAACGTGCTTTGCTAGGTGTGGGTTTCAAACTGGTGGTGCATACTCCAATATAGACCTAACGTATACGGTGTACAGTGTCCTGAACGATTCCTTATTGAGATATCGGAATGTTATTCTTAGGTTTGCTAGGCTCCCATATGCTGCAGCAGTTATTTGATTGATGTGCGCCTCAGATGTGCCCGGTGTTATACTCACCCCAAGATCCTCTTCCTTGAGTGAGGTTTGTAGTCTCTGGCCCCCCCTAGACTGTACTCCGTCTGCGATCTTCTTTGCTCTTTCCCAATCTTCATGACTTTGCGCTTGGTGGGGTTGAATTCCAGGAGCCAATTTCTGGACCAGGCCTGCAGCCTGTCCAGATGAGTGTTAGCCGACTGGTGTGGGTAGCATCCTGGAATGTACCTGGAGGGGGTTTCGGGAGTCAACGCGTCCCCCCCAGTATGTGACCAGGCCTCATGGTGGATCAGGACCTGATCGCCCAGGCTGTCACTGCTGGCCGCACCTAAAGCTACGTATGATCCACTGACCAGCCGGGGACAAAATTAACTTAATTTGCCGGAAACGCTTTGCATAGCCAGGGGCTTTCTATGTAGTATGTCACTGATGAACTACCTGAGAACTCAAATGTCACTAGGGAATCTAATAGGTATGGTAACCCTAGACTTTCAAAAGGCCTTCCATACTCTCAATCATAATATATTATGTAAGAAGCCACAAGCTATCCGCATAGATTCTGTCGACTGGTTTAAGTCCTACCTGAGCAACCGGAAACCAATTGTCAAGATCAACACAGAATCAGAACCCCTGCCGATAGTATGTAGGTTCCCCTATGTTATGTGAATGACATGCCTATCAATGTCAAGTATAAGCTTCTGTTGTGTCAGTGCTTTGTTAATATCAGGTAAAGGTCCACAAGATATAGTTTATGTACTGTCACTAGAACTAGTCCTGCAGCAAATGGTTAGACGATCGTTACACCTCAGGAAAACGGAAGCTGAAGATTAAAACACATGTGCAGCAGTTGGTTATCTTTATTGATGAAACGTTTCGCCTACACAGTAGGCTTCTTCAGTCAAATGCAAAGGGAGCAGTAATAATGAAATAATGATGTAATCAGTCCATCAACTTTGGAAAAAAGTATTTGAGGTGGTCAGTCCCTCAGCTTGGAGAAGAGTTCAGCTCCATGATCTGGAACGATATGGAACTGAAGCATGAGAACGGAGCTTTAAATGCTGTCGAAGGTGAGGTAGAAGATCTCGAAGACGTTGTAGGGGACGGGATCCACTAGTGGAAGTAAGAAGGCAGGTCCAGCTGCTGGCCTATCGTCATCCCCCACACTATAATCCAACAAGACTTTGCACAATGTAACTAGGACATACAGGAGCAACTTTAGCTCCAAAATCTCCCTATCACCAAAGTGCAAATTTATGTCCGTTCTAAGGTTTGTGACGTTATCCAAGCAACGTTGCCAAACTGACCTTCGACTACCGAGAGGTAGGTATAATATTTGTCAGGAAACAGGACAAGTGTTAACTAATGCGGATCTTAGTCATATGATGACCCACAGTTGGGGGTTTTGGTCATTTGACCGAGGACTTCCGCTGGCTTACCGATCCACCTCTTTGAAAACCATGGTTATGATTATAACCATTAAGTTGATAGTGACTACCGAGAGCTACCATCCTCGTTTTATATAGCATGACAGTGCTTACAGGTATGGGGATTGGTCCCAATGAGCCATCCAACTAATGCAGACATTGCTGGCAATTTGCCACTTTTCCTTAGATTTCTTAACGGAGGACTTTCGTGTTCGGATGATAATGGATTTTTCCCTGACTGTGCAGGTTGAAGATGTTCCTCAAGGCTGTGTTCTTAATACTACCCTCTTCTTGCTCACTATTAATGACCTCGTCTCTGTTCTCCCGATATTTAGTCATCTATGTTGACGATTTTACTATAGCCTGTATAGACACTGTTGCCTTGTAGCCTTGTGTTTCCCACTGGGCACCGTCTCATAAGTGAAAATTGTCTATCCCTAAAACAACACAGATTACATGCACAAAGTGCCTTGTTGTCCAATCTTATGTTTTTGTGCCTGCATGATCTTTGTACCCCTGATCGAAATAGATTTCTCGGTCTTCTGATCACTGTATGTCATAGAAGGTTCCAATGAACTTCCTAAAAGCCATATGCCATAGCTGCCTGAACCTCCTTAAAACCCTTGCCCATCTTTCTTGGGTGGCTGGTAGAAGGACCCTTCTTAAGTCTTCATTTCGCCCTCATCTAGATTGAGGCCCCTCAAGGGAGGTTCCTTGATGCTGGTGAGGGGTTCTTCATCTAGGGAATTGGAACGGTGCTCCAATTCCATGAATTAAGCCTGAATGCCGTACATCCTGCCCCCCCCCACCTTTCCAGCACTGTATAATCACTATGGGTTTAGTGCTCCCCATGATGATAATATGTATATTGAACTACGGTCAAAAACTGTATTCTTCAGCCTCCCCTGGTACTCTTTCTAAACTTGATCCTATTCATCATTCATTCTTCCCAAACTGAGATCCTGTATAGAGAGGCAAATGTCCCATCTTAGATTGCCAGAATGTCCATTGTTTCTTTTATTTTGCTCTCTCAATCTTCATGATCCTTCCACATATTGGACGGCTTGGTAGGACTTTGTATTTAATCATTGCTCCCATATGCCCCTTTCCTCTTCTTATTTGGTCTCTCTTGGCTTCCCTTAATTTAACTCCCATCTACAGTCACCTTGCAGCTTGCTTTTCTCTTCCTTGGGAAGTCCCGACGATTCATGTTTGCTCTTCCCCACTTCCATGCACAAAAGCTCACATGCCCGCCATAACTACACAGGCGTTCTTTCTTGATTACTTCCATTTTTCATTGTCATGCTATTTCTGTATACATCGATGGTGTTGGGAATAGAGCAGTTTAAAGAACAAAAAGGCACAATACCGTGAATGGAACAATGCACATATAACCCGCACAGGAGAGAGGAGCTTATGACTACGTTTCAGTCCGACTTGGACCATTTACAAAGTCTCACTAACACAAAAGAGATGGAACTAGTATATATAGGCCAACTGGCAGGGACGGGACAAGAGAGGTAGGAGGAGTTGTAGTGGTAGAAGTAATTCTGGTGGTAGTAGTAGTGGTAGTGTAAAGTAGGAAGTGGTTGGTGGGACAATAAAAAGGAGTGAATTATTATAATCATGGGGAAGTGCTAAACCCGTAGGGTTATACAGCGCCTGTGGGGGGGGGGAAGGTATTCAGGCTTAATTCAGGGAACTGGAGCACAGATCCAGTTCCCTAGATCAAGAGCCCCTCGCCTAGAGAGGAGGAGAAAATAGAATCAGGTAAAGTCACGTGTGTTATGAAGTTTGGAGCATTTGACAGTGTATTGGGAAAGATCTCTACAGAGACAAAACCAGGACCAAGGATCATACATGGAAAGTTATGTATAAGGGAGGATTGAGCAAGACGGTGACTGTGAAAGAAGTAGAATAGACAGTTTTAGCAGATGACCAGTCGATAGGATGACTGTGATCTCTGACATGAAAGAAAAGATTATAGATGTCGGCAAACCTAACACTACTTTTCTGCTCCTTAAGTCCGTCAGAAAGGTAACGGCTAGTTTCTCCAGGTGCTGAAGAGGACAAGAGGAGAGCAAAATAGAGTAGATACTAGGAGCATCAATAGTGGAAGGGAAGGTACAAACTAGATTACTGCAAAGGGTGTTAGTCTGTCAAAAAATAAGTTTGATGCCTAGGGAATGGAGTGAGTTGTTGAGATCAGAAAGACTGAAAATATAGGGAAGGCAAAGAATGGGAGATTTCCAAGTAGTAGAGAAGAAAGCTCCTCTCTCTTACGTGCGGGTTATTTGTGAATAGAGCAATTTTTCGTGACATTGAGCGGTATGAGATTGATCCCCGGGATGGGTGAAACATTAGGCACGTTTCGTTACACCTGCTGCCTATTCATCTAGCAGTAAGTAGGTACCTAGGTGTTAGCCGACTGTTGTGGGTTATCCTAGGGGGAAAAAAAAATCAACCAAAGTTACCTGAAATGTTCTTGCATAACCAGGGGCTTTCTATATAGTATGCCTTTAATGACTTCCCAGTTTTGGATTATTTGTTCTGCGATCTCACGTTGGACCACAAATTGTTTTCTTTCAAATGACATCACTATCGTGTACAGAAGCCTGCAATCTCCTGTCTATGTGCCTCACTTGCAGATACCTCATGGAAAAATGCCCAATACCATCCAATGAGCGCTGTCATCTACGCTGCCCAACTACATTTACTCTAAACCCCCACTTTTGATACAGTCTGACTTTTTAACAGAAACTAACTTATTGCACCAACTTTGATCTTAGTTTACCTCAAACTCTCCTCTGCCTCTTATTATTATTGTGGGGAGTGCTAAACCAATAGGGATTATACAGTGCCTATGCAGGGGGGGGGGAGGCATTCAGGCTTAATACAGGGAAATGGAACACAGATCCAGAGCCCCTCACCAGCATTAAGGAACCTCCTTTCATGGGGATCCTCTTCCCCTTACCCTTTCCACACTTCCCTCCTCTTCCCCATCCCTTGCTGTAGTGCTTTATGATCCTTTTGCCGAAAGGGTCATATAGCACTGCAGCTTTCGAGTTTAGTTTTATTATTATTAGGATTTAAAAATAGTCCGACCCTTTCAGGGCCACTCATTACATTTGAGGCGAGATAAGAGTCTGGGAGGGTAAGGAATATGCTTGCCATATCTAATAACTGACCCAAAGTAGTTAAAATACATATGCCCAAGCCTCTTGTATATTCCTGCCCCTCAAGAGAGGTTCCTTGATGCTGATGGGCTCTTGATCTAGGGAATTGGATCTGTGCTCCAGTTGCCTGAATACCCACCCCCCACAAGCACTGTATAATACCTACAGAATTAGTGCTCCCCATAATTGTATATTCATGCATATTGTTGGTAAACTAGTTTTATTTTGAACCAATGCATGTTCAGGGTGATTGTCAAGACTTTATACAGTCATTGACTCTGATAAATTTTGTTAAAGAATTCTTATTTACATTTTAAATTAGACATGTGCTAAACCCAGAGGTCATACAGCTTGTCAAGTGTGAATTAATACATTTAGTAATGCACAGCACTGTATGACCCTGCTGGTTTAGAACTTGGTTTTGATACCAATAATTTAGTACTGCAGTAATACGTTTAGGTAAACTGTTAAATAAAATGTAAAATTTTGTTATACTGTCATTTTACTTTTCCTTTGGTATCTAGCCTATATATTTTATAGTATATATTAGGTCATAGAACTAAGCCTGTCAATCATGGCCTGGGTAATCAGGGTTGATCCACAGAAGGGAAAGCCAAGTCCAATTCCTTATCTGAAGGATGCTTCCAAGAGTCAGTGCACTCGTGGTCTGGTCACAGACCAGGCCTACCAGTGAATCAAGGCATGAAATCAAACTATTTACTCTGGCTGCACATAGGTTAAAATGAACTGCAGACTGGCTAGTCAGGAACTGATTTGACTAACTTATTAAGTTCCCTCTTATCAACAGCCAGAGGTTTGTTGGAGGGCACAGCCTGACCTCTGACACTGAAGTTCTTAATGTACTGTACTAGTCACCCCTGCTTTTTACTGCAAATAATTCACACATCTGCCAAGTCTCTTGCTTTTACATGGAGTGACTTCAGTGTACATATTTTGGACCAGTCAGTCCCTCCAGGATTTTGAAGTGTAAATGCACCTTGCTCATCTGTCTTCCAAGGAATACAGTTGAAGGGACTTTAAACTATTGGGAATGTCTTGACATATAATAGTAGTAAAATTTCTGGGTTTTCTAGCTCAGCAGTCACTTGCTTTGAAGGGCTCTGTTAGTACACAGCAATATTCCAGTCTGGAGAGAGCAAGAAGGTATTTCAAGAGTATCATTGGTCAAGGTTTAATTTGAAATGAGGGAGTGCTAAACCTGTAGAGGTCATATAGCACCTGAGGAATGGGAGACATTCAGGGTTGATCCAAGGAAGGGAAGGACAAATCCAGTTTGGATCAAGAGCCCTACACCAGCATCAGGGTGCCATTAGATCAAGAACCCTTCACCATCACCCAGGATTTCATTAACACATTGGCTGTTTCCCACCAAGGCAAGGTGACCCAGAAAAGATTATCATTTCCTTGCTAGAGGCATGCCTGCAAATTGCAACTTATTAACACCCCTCTTTCAGAGTGCAGGCACTGTACTTCCAGGACTCGAGTTCAGCTTGCCAGTTTCCCTGAATCCCTTCATAACTCACACTAACAGCACATCAAGTCCTAGAAACCACTCACTCCTGTCTAACTCTCATGCATGCTTGCTGGAAGTGCAAAACCACCTTTACTAGGCCAACCCCTACCCCCACCTTCCTTCCACTCCAGATTTATACACTCTCCAGGTCATTCTATTTCTTTCTCTTTGTCCAAATGACCTGGATAATACTTTTAGTAACCCCACACCTAATTTCTAAACTAGAGTGTGTCTGCATGATATTCACATTGCCCTTGGACACATCAATCATCTCTGCCTTCTCCTTGATGTAACATTCACCACTTATATAAGTGTTTATATGACTATACTCTCATACATTTCCCTTCCATAGATAGCATTGTTTCCACAGTGCTCACCTCATCTTTCATAGACCAATCTGCTGACAAGTCCACTCCCAAATATCTGAATACATTGTCCCTCCCTCCAATCTGATATAGTCTCTCATCACCTTACTCTTTCCTATATTCAATTTCCTTCTTTTACATATCCTACCAAACTCATCCACTAACCTCTGCAACTTCTCCTCAGAATCTCCCAAAAGCACAGTTTCATCAGCAAAGAGCATCTGTGTTAGATTCTTTCATCTTTTAATCCTATGCCTCTTGCCAAAACCTGAGCATTCACTTCTCTTACAACCCCATCTATAAATACAGTGGACCCTCAACCAGCGATATTAATCCGTTCCTGAGAGCTCATCGTTAATCGAAATAATCGTTAGTCAAGTTAATTTTCCCCATAAGAAATAATGGAAATCAAATTAATCCGTGCAAGACACCCCAAAGTATTTGAAAAAAAAAATTTTACCACATGAAATATTAATTTTAACACAAACTGAAGAAGACATGCACAGTTACATGACACTTACCTTTATTGAAGATCTGGTGATGATTGATGGGATGGGAGACCATTGATCTTCTTAGTGTTTAGAAGGGGAATCCCCTTCCATTAGCACTTGAGGTAGCAAGTCTTTTTTCTGGGGTTACTTCCCTTGTTCCCTCAAGGAAGGTTCCTTGATGTTGGTGAGAGGCTCTTGATTTAGGGAATTGGATCTGTGCTCCAGTTCCCCGAATGCCTTCCACATCCCCCCCCCCCCCAGGCACTGTATAATCCTCTGGGTTTAGCGCTTCCCCCTTGATTATAATAATAATACTTCCCTTGTTCTTTTAATGCCACTAGGACCAGCTTTCCCCTCAAGGAAGGTTCCTTGATGTTGGTGAGGGGCTCTTGATTTAGGGAATTAGATCTGTGCTCCAGTTCCCCGAATTAAGCCTGAATGCCTTCCACATCCCCCCCTCCAGGCGCTGTATAATCCTCCGGGTTTAGCGCTTCCCCCTTGATTATAATAATAGGACCAGCTTCAGTCACTGGACTTCTGTCGCACAACATATCTGTCCATAGATACCTGTACCTCTCGTTCCTTTATGACTTTCTTAAAGTGGTTCACAACATTGTCAGTGTACAGGTTGCCAACACGGCTTGCAGTAGCTGTGTCAGGGTGATTTTCATCAAAAAAGGTTTGCACTTCAAGCCACTTTGCACACATTTCCTTACTCTTAGAAGTAGGAAACTGCTTCAATTTCTCTATCCCCTCCTCCGAAGCAGTTTCCTCAGGTCTGCCCTCTTGCTGTTCAAGATGATCTAGCAGCTCATCAGTGGTTAGGTCTTCATTGTGCTCTTCCACATCCTCCAACCCCAAGGACTTCCCCAATGCCACATTGGATTCCTCAACTGGCATAGGATTCTCAGGGTTAGCCACAATCCCTTTTGTCTACACATTCTGGCCACAGTTTTTTCCAAGCAGAGTTCAAGGTCCTCTTAGTCACTTCCTCCCAAGCCTTACCTATAATGTTTACACAATTGAGGATGGTAAAATGATCTTTCCAAAACTCTCAGAGTCAGTCGAGTTTCTGAGGTCACTACAAAGCACCTTTCAAACATAGCTTTTGTGTAGTTTCTTGAAGTTGGAAATGGCCTGCTGGTCCATGGGCTGCAGGAGAAGAGTGGTATTAGGAGGCAAAAACTTCACCTTAATGAAACTCATGTCCCTAGAAAGTCGCTCTGCCAAGTCTGAAGGATGACCAGGAGCATTGTCTAATACCAGGAGGCACTTAAGGTCTAATTTCTTTTCAATTAGGTAATTCTTCACATTGGGGGCAAATGCATGGTGTAACCAGTCATAGAAAAAGTCCCTAGTGACCCATGCCTTACTGTTTGCCCTCCACAGCACACACAAATTAGCCTTGACGACATTGAAACTCCCAGTGTGTTCAGGAAAAACAGTGATACACCAATAAAGGCTTCACTTTGCAATCACCACTAGCATTGGCACACATCAACAGTAAGCCTGTCTTTCATAGGCTTATGTCCTGGGAGTGCCTTTTCCTCCTGAGTAATGTAGGTCCTGCTTGGCATTTTCTTCCAAAACAGGCCTGTTTTGTCACAATTAAACACTTGTTCAGCTGTATAGCCCTTGTGGCTTAGCGCTTCTTTTTGATTATAATAATAAAACACTTGTTCAGGTTTCAGTCCTTCACTGTCTATGTACTCCTTGAATTCCTGCACATATTTTTCAGCCGCTTTGTGGTCCGAACTGGCAGCCTCACCATGACTTATCACACTATGAATGCCACTACGCTTCTTAAATCTCTCAAACCAACCTTTGCTGGCCTTAAATTCACTCACATCACTAGTTGCTGGCATTTTTTTTTTAAATCGTCATGCAACTTCCTAGCCTTTTCACATATGATCGCTTGAGAGATGCTATCTTTTTCTTGTTTATCCACACCAATAACAGTCTCTCAACATCATCTACCGCTTGCGATCTCAGTTTCGAAAACATAGTTGCACCTTTGGCATGAACAGCTTCCTTGATTGCCGTTTTCTTGCCCACAATAGTAGCGATGGTTGATTGGGGTTTATTATACAACCTATACAGATGTGACAGAGTGAACAGGCAAAAGGGGGAGGGTTGGCCTGTACATTGCAGAGTCACTTGTTTGCACAGAACTGCTTAATGCCTCAAATGATGTAGTGGAAGTTTTAGCAGTAAAGGTCGAGAACCAAAACCTAGTCATTGTGGTAGTCTACAAGCCTCCGGATGCAATTCCAGGAACAGCTGTTAAAAATTGACCACTGTCTGGAAAATCTTCCAGCTCCTGCACCCAACATCTTGCTCCTGGGGGATTTCAACTTAAGGCACCTAAAATGGAGGAATATAGAAAATAATATTGTTGCAGTAATAACACCAGGAGGCAGCTCTGATGAAAACTCACACTCGCACGAGCTTTTAAATCTCTGCACAAAATTCAATTTAAACCAGCAAATAATAGAGCCTACTAGAATGGAGAACACACTAGACCTCATCTTCACTAACAATGATGATCTGATAAGAAATGTCACCATATCAAAAACAATATACTCAGATCACAACATAATTGAGGTTCAGACATGTATGCGCAGAGCCCCAGACCGACAAAATGAGATTAGCCACGAGGGAGCATTCACCAAATTCAACTTAAATAACAAAAACAAAGTGGGACCAAGTCCTAACAGATATAAGCTGGGAAGATATACTAAGCAACACAGACCCCAACTTATGCCTAGAACAGATTAACTTGGTGGCACTCGATGTATGCACAAGACTTATTCCTCTAAGAAAAAGGAGGAGTAGATGTAAAATAGAGAGACAGGCGCTCTCTTTACAGGCGACGGAAAAGAATAACAGAGCAGCTAAAAGAGGTCAGTCTATCTGAAATGCGTAGGGAGACACTGGTCAGAGAAATAGCAAACATCGAACTTAAGCTAAAGGAATCTTATAGGAGTCAGGAATCGCGGGAAGAACTAAAAGCCATAAATGAAATCGAAAGAAACCCAAAGTATTTCTTCTCCTATGCCAAATCAAAGTCGAGAACAATGTCTAGTATTGGGCCCTTACTTAAACAAGATGGGTCCTACACAGATGACAGCAAGGAAATGAGTGAGCTACTCAAGTCCCAATATGACTCAGTTTTTAGCAAGCCGCTAACCAGACTGAGAGTCGAAGATCAAAATGAATTTTTTATGAGAGAGCCACAGAATTTGGTTTTAACAAGCCTATCTGATGTTATCCTGACGCCAAATGACTTCGAACAGGCGATAAATGACATGCCCATGCACTCTGCCCCAGGGCCAGACTCATGGAACTCCGTGTTCATCAAGAACCCCCTATCACGAGCCTTTACCATCCTATGGAGAGGGAGCATGGACACGGGGGTCGTCCCACAGTTACTAAAAACAACAGACATAGCCCCACTCCACAAAGGGGGCAAAAAACTACAGACCGATAGCACTAACATCCCATATCATAAAAATCTTTGAAAGAGTCCTAAGAAGCAAGATCACCACCCATCTAGAAACCCATCAGTTACACAACCCAGGGCAACATGGGTTTATAACAGGTCGCTCCTGTCTGTCTCAACTATTGGATCACTACGACAAGGTACTAGAAGACAAAAAGAATGCAGATGTAATATATACAGACTTTGCAAAAGCCTTCGACAAGTGTGACCATGGCGTAATAGTGCACAAAATGCGTGCTAAAGGAATAACAGGAAAAGTCAGTCGATGGATCTATAATTTCCTCACTAACAGAACACAGAGTAGTAGTCAACAGAGTAAAGTCCGAGGCAGGCACGGTGAAAAGCTCTGTTCCACAAGGCACAGTACTCGCTCCCATCTTGTTCCTCATCCTCATATCTGACATAGACAAGGATGTCAGCCACAGCACCGTGTCTTCCTTTGCAGATGACACCCGAATCTGCATGACAGTGTCTTCCATTGCAGACACTGCAAGGCTCCAGGCGGACATCAACCAAATCTTTCAGTGGGCTGCAGAAAACAATATGAAGTTCAACGATGAGAAATTTCAATTACTCAGATATGGTAAACACGAGGAAATTAAATCTTCATCTGAGTACAAAACAAATTCTGGCCACAAAATAGAGCGAAACACCAACATCAAAGACCTGGGAGTGATCATGTCGGAGGATCTCACCTTCAAGGACCATAACATTGTATTGATCGCATCTGCTAGAAAAATGACAGGATGGATAATGAGAACCTTCAAAACGATGGATGCCAAGCCCATGATGACACTCTTCAGGTCACTTGTTCTATCTAGGCTGGAATATTGCTGCACACTAACAGCACCTTTCAAGGCAGGTGAAATTGCTGACCTAGAAAATGTGCAGAGAACCTTCACGGCACGCATAACTGAGATAAAACACCTCAATTACTGGGAGCGCTTGAGGTTCCTGAACCTGTATTCCCTGGAATGCAGGCGGGAGAGATACATGATTATATACACTTGGAAAATCCTAGAGGGACTAGTACCGAACTTGCACACGAAAATCACTCACTACGAAAGCAAAGGACTTGGCAGACGATGCACCATCCCCCCAATGAAAAGCAGGGGTGTCACTAGCACGTTAAGAGACCATACAATAAGTGTCAGGGGCCCGAGACTGTTCAACTGCCTCCCAGCATACATAAGGGGGATTACCAACAAACCCCTGGCAGTCTTCAAGCTGGCACTGGACAAGCACCTAAAGTCGGTTCCTGATCAGCCGGGCTGTGGCTCGTACGTTGGTTTGCGTGCAGCCAGCAGTAACAGCCTGGTTGATCAGGCTCTGATCCACCAGGAGGCCTGGTCACAGACCGGGCCACGGGGGCGTTGACCCCCAGAACTCACTCTAGGTGACCAGCTCAGAGACACACTCCACTTTCATACTTAGCAATGATCTCTTTCTTCATCTCCATAGTAATTCTCATCCTTTTTGCTGTAGGGTTGGCACTAGAAGCTTTGTTGGGGCCCATGGTGACTTATTTTGCAGGTGCAATCACTACAAAGGCTGTGATAATATGATATGTTCCAGTTATATGTTTTCAAGCGACCGCGGTGGCTGGCTTGTAAACACTGGCACCCACGGGACAAGTGAGGCGCGCTCAGGCCAAAGTGGACGCGTCTCGTACGGAACAAATAGCGCTGGTCGAGGCAAAATTTTTGCGTTAAAATGTATCGCTAGTCAGATTTATCATTAATCGATGCCATCGCTGGTTGAGGGTCCACTGTATATTGAACAACTATGGTGACATCACACATCTCCGTCTAAGGCCTACTTTTACTGGAAAATACTCACCCTCTCTCCTATATACTTGCTGTATAGTCCTTGTGGCTTAGCGCTTCTTTTTGATTATAATAATAATAATCTCCTATATACTCTAACCTGAGCTTCATTATCCTCATAAAAACTCTTCACATCCTATTCCATACATTTCCAACATTGCCACCCTATCATATGCCTTTTCCACATCCATAAATGCCACAAAAACTTGTTTATCTATACGTTTCACTCTGAACACTTGGTCTACACACCCCCTACCCTTCCTAAAGCCTCCTTGTTCCTCTGATTCTGCTCTTATTCTTTCAATAACTCAACAGGCTTATTACACTCTTTTGCCTTTATACAGAACTATGCATGCTCTGTCAATCCCTAGGTACCTTACCCTCTTCCATACATTTACTAAAAAGCACTAACCACCCCTGCCTGCTTATAACATTTGTGTCTTTACCCCCATACATTCTACCCACTGCCTCACACAGGAATCTGACAAATTCCTGGATGGTGGGGAATGGGAGGTAAATGGATTTGATCAAAGGGAGAGGGTAAAATATGTAGTGCATAAACACAATTGATGTAGTTATGCATGACATCTAAATAGAAAATGGTATCACCACCTCATGATCACTTTCTGAAACTTCTTAAATGAGATATCAGGATTACATTAACTTTAAACCTCAAAATGAAACACTCTTTGTCAAGGCCATTTATTGCAGTCAGCTGAAGTGCACCACAAGTATATATATACAATACATTGACATGCTAGATGCTTCCAGATCCTCAAACACACACAAATGGACAAGTAAATTACAATATGAATGGTGGTCATGTAGATATAAACATTAATGTATCATTACCATACTCTCAAGTTCTGGGAAAGAACAATTTATCACAATCATTCATTACCTTTATCACTAACAAAATGCACTTGGCACATCTCCCTGAATAGGAACTTTTAACACCCACTCCTGTTCTTGTCCCATCAAGAAGAGATGGAGAGCTGGACACATGGACGGTACACATTTGTCCTCAACAGCAGAGTGATACTTGTGTTCTAGAAGTTAACACCAAAACTTCATTCTCATCAGTTTTTCACACAGTATCCAATACCGAACTAGCTTTGTATTAAATTATTCTGAAGAATTTTAAAGCCATTAAGTTACTAAAATTAATTATTTACAAATGGCTAAAATTATAACAACTGACCCCTTTTTTTTTTTTTAAATAGATCAAATATACTTGTGCATCCTAACTGACATGTCATCATTCAAGAACTTTAGGCCCCAACTTGTGTGGTAAGCATTGCTGTACCCAGCTCTTTTATAGAAAACTTGGCTTAATCAAAAAATCTATGTAATACATGATCAGAGTTCAAATTAACAAATGCAATAGCAATATCAAAACAAAGCACCTTATAGAAGCTTATATACCTTAAATCACAAATCAAAGTCGTTTACTATATTTCTTATTACCATCCTGTACTGTACACTGAATCTCTTCCCAAATACCCTCTACTATTCACAATATAAAGGTTTCACTGGATTTCTTCTACAACTATAAGGCCATGTTTCCTAATGAGAATTGGTAATGATGTATGAAAATGAGGTAAATTTGCTGTGAGCAATGGCATAAATTTAAGGTCACTTGTAAAATAGTGATTGGCAGAAATTAAAGATACAACCAATGTGCATACAACTACTACTGTATTTTGCAAAAATATTTAAAACTATATGGATGGTTGTAATTAAGCTCTATATAAATGTATGTACAGGATGTATAAGAAAATTTTCAGTTCCTAATTGGCCTGGCAACTATACAAGATACTGTAATAATGATAATATATAACAATAATAATCATATAAGTAGCTCTTAACTAATGGTAATAGGTTATTCATTCATTATTATCTATACATTGTAGCAGTTTGGAAGCATTCATGGTTAGTTTGATACAAAGTTAGGAAAAGTGTATTATGACAGTAAAAAAAGTGACATGCAAAATGCATGCTTCATACTATTCAATGGCAATAAAAATTACCAGAGCCACCAATGCTCAACCCTCAGTACTGGCAACAGGTGGCATACTTAACATGAACCTAATTATGTAAAGACCAGCATAGCTTTTCTCCCTTAATAAATGCCTGACCTCTCTCCCATCCCACAAACATGCAAATTTGTTGCCACAAGTGTACTTATATCCTTCATTAACAATAATGTCACTTGTTGCTTGGCAACTACCAACTCTTTTTTTTTCCTTTGGCTAACAGGATTAACTGCCACTTCATTAACCCCCATCAACCACCACCTACTTTCAACAAATGTAGGACTCAGGTACCTAAAAAAAAAACTGTACCCAGAATTTCATATGTTGGCAGTTGTTGGAAGTTAAGATGAGGCAACTTTGTGCTTTCTGCAACTGCTTTTCCTCCTCATACAAGTCATCTGGATTAAGTACAAATATGCCAACAACAAAAAAACACCCTAATTTCTGGAATGTTGTTATACAATTTCAGTCCACTCACTGGGTATGCAAATATGGCAACAAATTCAACAAAGACACTCATTCCAACAGATACAGTCCTATAAATAATTTATTTTCTCTGCTAAATAATTAAGATTAGATACATTTTCTTAGCAACATCTAAATGTTGCTTATAGCATTTTATCAATAGTTTTTGTTCTATCATTTATTCAAATTTCACTCAAATTGTTGGCAATTTCTCATTACAGACACACCAACTAAGAAGCAATACTTTAAATTTATCACCTTTATACTTCATCCTTTGACTAAATTAATGTGCATACAATTTACTCAATAGGAAATGAAGTGGAGAGTCCCTTTGACGAAGCATATTCAACAATGGTATCCCTCAAGGAGAACGTGTCCTGGGACCAGTGATGAGTGCTGGCTTCTCACTTGGTAGCATCTTCCTCTCCATCCACAGAATCATCAGCATTTTGAGAGTCATCACTAGCAGCAGCAATAGATCCGCGCTTCACTCCCAAAAAGTCAAGGCGGGAACCAAGTCCAGCACCACCACGCCTGGTAGGGAATATAATGTAGTTACCATGTTACAGTTAACAAAATGGAGACTTTCCTACAGTCTGCGACACAATATTACAGCACTGCTACAAGGATATTTGTCAAAATTTATATAAATACATCATTTAAGTATAAGTCTTCAGCTCAATGAAAAAGCCTTTGAATGCTTATGTAAAATAAAGCTTTATTTCAATGAAGAGCAAGGATTGATGAATTAAAAACTGTTTGTGAGCATAGCAAAAGGACAAAAACAAAGGCAGGTAAATCAGCATGCAGAAAAAAAAAATACTAAGCTATCTAATCTGGAAGCTTCCTTATTGAACAAGAATTACTGACATATACAGTAAATGGTTATGCTTATGCTACAGTGCAACAAGTGTCAAATATGTGGATACAACAAAAAATTACCATGCAAATATAATTAGGTTACTACTAACGTGTGACCTTTCCGAGAGGAGTATCTGTAGGGGATGGGAAATGCTGAAAAAACGGTTTTAACAACCAGTTTTATTTTTCAAGCCACTTGCAAATACCAAAACCTAATTTTTAATAGCTGCATCAACTTAAATTCCCATGCAAAGTGACAGCATTTCATAAAGAATTACCACTAATAAAAATAAACTGTTAAAACTAAAATATTAGGTTATTAGTTGAACAAATCATTACAAATTAATGTGGTTCAATTATCACAACAAAACATCAATAATCACAGGAATATGCAAAACTATTCTATGTGATAGTTTTCACCTCTCGCACACATGGCATCTTGCCTCACTACTCTGGCTAATAATCACAAAAAAACAAACTTTTCATCTTCACTGCTACTGAAATCTTGTGCTAGATCAATCACATTTGAAGTCGAGGCATTCTTCATAAGCTTGCACAGACCACGATTTGTTCGTTTTGTGATTTGACTTAAGACCTTTTCAGCTTCAGCTTGGCTACAGCAGCCATAAAATAAAGAGCTGTATTAGGAGACTGGAATTTATACCAATAACTATTCGTTAATACTGTACTACGTTTAGTTATTAACTGTCTAGACTCCTATAGCTACAATTTCATGCCCCATCCATCACCAATACCTAAACCAAACTAAACTTTTATGACATTATATTTGTAATACTGTATATATATAGTACATATATATATATATAAGACACCAATGGAATTAGGAGCAATAAGCATTGTGTAGCAGGTAGTGAGTGCAGAACTAAACAATGACTATCATGAAGTACTCAAGTAGGTCTCAGGAGGAAGACCATTTATGAGGTACCCACAAGTGAGCCTAGTCTTCCTGGTCGTCCGTTGTTATGGTAGTCGTGGTGAGTGACCTCCGACTACTCAGGATGTGACTACCCATTTTACTACTACTGCAAGACACCAAACATTGGACACCCTCAAATTAAATGTCTTGGCAGAAAAATAAAAAAAATAATTTAATACATTAAACTTATAACACCTGCCACCCCTCCCATTGTCACTAAGTTAACTTAATTTTTCTCAGCATTAAGAGAAAGACACTGTTTAAAATAATTTTTTTTTTTTAAATTATACTGTCTCGAGTTCACATTTCTACTCAATAAAACATCACATATATTGAGTCTCACATAGCGAGTGTTCACCTCTCGGAATTGGTCATCCCAACTAATGGAGTTGCTCTGCTGCACAGTGTCTGAAGCCATAGCGTTCTACTCGTCAATATTTGCCATCTTTCAAACAAAATACATGACTCTTAATTTAACAGACTTATTGCTAAGCCCACAGTCAAGAACGACAGAGCTAGTGAAGAATTCTTGGCTCTACTGTGCATTGCAGAAACTATGAACCAATATGATATTCATAACACTCATGCACTACAACAATTTTGCTTTCAGGTCTGCTCTCAATATTGTAACATTCATCTAATTCTATCATATTCTTCTTAATGTGTTGGTGTTTACTAAAATCACATTGATAACAGTATTACAGACAGAATACTGTTTACCTATTCTGGAAGTAGGGAGAGAGAAGTACAAGCAGAAACAGAGAAGCAAACAAAAAAAAAATATATATAGAGAAGAAACAGACACAGGAAAGGAGAGAGAGAAAACTGATGTGTGACAAATGCAGCAGGACCAGATGCTAAGAGAAACTGTGTGACAACCTTAAGAAAAATAAACAAGTCATTAGAAACAGACAGCTGGGGGGCACTGACCCCTGAAACACCCTCCAGGTATAAGGTGACAGAAAAGATATTAAGCCTATATGTAGTTTAGCACCTTAAAAGAAATACATTTGTAAGAGATCCAGGATGCATTTTGGGACAAAGTAGAAGAGAAGACTTCATCTTCCTTGAATGTATGAAAGCATTTCTGAACAATACCACACAGAAGGCTGCTATATAAATTGGAAGAGCAGTTGGGCAGCAGGAAACATTAAAGTGGATAAAATTATTTAGTGAACAGAAGGCCATATGTAAGGAGCCCTTCAAGGTGGGTGTGGTATGTATAGGTGCATGCATAGGTAGGTAGGTATGTGTATTCACCTAGGTGTGGTTGCAGGGGTCGAGTGTGTAGGTGTGTGCGCGCATGTGGGGGGTTGTGGGGGGTTATGGGGAATTGTAGGGGTGTATTTAGGGAGGAGGCATTTCCACCTATACGTATGTACTAGCCTGTACGTGGTTGCCGGGATGGAGTTTTAGTTCCTAGTCCTGACTCGGAACCTGCTACTTGCCAAATTCACTCTCTCCTAGTCTCAAGGACCCTTTCATACCTGTTTTTAAAACAATGTATGGAATCTGCCTCCACCACTTCAAGATGTTCAACTTCCCAACCAGAGACTGAAGAAATACTTCCTGATGTCCCTCAGGCTTGTGTGTGCCTTTTAGCTTCTAGCTGTGACCCTGAGTAGCGGTTTCCCACCTCTCAAACAGCCTGTCCCTGTCTTCCTTATCACGTCCTCTGAGTATTTTATATGTTACCATGTCTCCCTTGGTTCTTCTGTCCTCTAGGGTTGTTAGATTAAATTTCTTAAGCCAAACCACATAGCTTATACCCCTTAACTTTGGAATTAGTCTCATTGCGTACTTCTGTCCTTTTTGTAAGTTTTTGTCACTATCTGTATGTGTATTTCTGTTTCTCCCCCCTCTGCATTTCTCTATTTCTCTCTCTCTGTGTCCCACCTGTCACATCATATCTAACACTGATGGCAGCAACAGGACTGCCTGCCTCCCCCATTCATTTATTCCCCTCTCCTATTCTTTCCTTCACTCCTTCCTGTTCTCCCTTCCTTCCCTGCCAGCAGCATAATGTTAACCTAAGACTTGAGTCAGGAACCTGAATAAAGATTACTTATAATATTACACACAATGTATGTCAAGACTATCTTTCAGTATGTGGCACCACCACTGAACACTCACCTGATCATGCATATAAAAGATTCAAAGGATTGCAAAGAGGTGGGTTTCAAAATGAAGGAATTTGGCTAAAAAGGAGAGATTTTAGGAACACTAACACTAGAAAAAGAGCAAAACCAATCATATCATCACGATATGCAAAATATTCAGAGGATATGATAGATGGTATAGGATCAGGCTGGTTGAGGTCCCGACACAGCAGCCAAGACTAAGATGGTCCATAGAAATAACAGGGAAGTGTACTTTTCAGTTTAAGGGTGGCAAGCAAGTGGAACACACTAAATGAAGAGATGGTGAAGACAAGTACTAGACGATTTTCAGGAGTAAGATATACTTGGACCTTGGGAGAAATTGTGAAGCCATCCTGTTGAAGAGCAGGAGAACCATGAGTACAGTTAAAGCTGTATCAACATACATGGCCCATGATTAGTCAACATAATATACCAGCAGATATCAGAAATACTTCTGGAATGAAGGCTGAAGTTTTCAAGAAGCTGAACAGTTTCCTTCTGTAAGTGCCACATCAGCCTGGTGTAGTGGCAATGTTGGCCTGTGGACTGCTAGCACAAACAGCCAGATTGACCAGGCAGTTATAAGGAAAGCCTGGCTGTGGGGGAAGAGTCCTCAAAACCAGTCACAGAGAAAGAAAGAAATCAAAAGGAAAATAAATGAGAGAGAGGGAGACTGACTTATCCATTAATAGTTTCAAGTATCGTTGGATCCATGGCTTGGTTTTGGATCAATTTTCCTATAATGGAAAAAATGACAGTAATAAGAACTATTAAGAAAAAAGTAATGATAAATACATAGCTATTGCAAGTTAATATTTAGAGAGCAAACTAGAGAGACAACCAGAGAAAGAAATTTACCAAGATTTAGGTGAACAAATAGTAATGCGCAGTACTGGCAAATATGACTTAATCCTGTTAACTAATGTCACCACAATTAAGACTCCACCCCAACATAATGTAGTGCGTGCATGTGCAGCTGCTGATAAATGAGATACTTGTGCAACATTTGGGTCTCTTCTGGAAATTTTTGCCAGCCAGTGATTTCTTCAGTCCAGTGCAGAGAAAGGTGGATGACAATGATGAGGAGGAGTTTGAGGTAATCAGTCCCTCAGCCTGAATACATCAACTCTAGGCTGAGGGACCGATTACCTAAAACTCCTTGTCGTCATCATCATCCACCTTTCTCTGCATTGGACTGAAGAGGCCACTGGCTGGCATATATTCACATATGCAAATGTACTAAAATTTATAAAATATGTATCATTCTGCATATGAGCACTTTCAAATGCAACTTTTCCCATGTCTCTTTCTAAAGCAATAAGGAAATGCTATTTAAAAATCTTTTTTTTTTTTTTTTTTTTTTTCAAAAAATCAATATCTAACTTGGGAATTTAATTATAAAAAATGCTAGTACAGTAATCTAATGGCATGTATTAATGTAGTGTATTGTGTATACAAAATTTGTCTTTAATATGCACACAAAGTAAGAATAATTCAGTGATTTACTGCAATAAAAATGTTACCATCTGCCAGTGAGGATGGTGGGAGTAGATATAAAGTACAGGACAGAAGTACATGGTAATAATGAAACTTCCGTAATAAGTGACTTCACCCTGCTAGAACACGGTATGCTTATAACAACTGTATAACTGACTAAATCTTTCTAGGGCATAAAATAACTTTCAATAAAGACACACATTACAGCCATTCAAATATTTGTCATTTTTATTTTTATTATTATCACACTGGCCGATTCCCACCAAGGCAGGGTGGCCCGAAAAAGAAAAACTTTCACCATCATTCACTCCATCACTGTCTTGCCAGAAGGGTGCTTTACACTACAGTTTTTAAACTGCAACATTAACACCCCTCCTTCAGAGTGCAGGCACTGTACTTCCCATCTCCAGGACTCAAGTCCGGCCTGCCGGTTTCCCTGAACCCCTTCATAAATGTTACTTTGCTCACACTCCAACAGCACGTCAAGTATTAAAAACCCATTTGTCTCCATTCACTCCTATCAAACACGCTCACGCATGCCTGCTGGAAGTCCAAGCCCCTCGCACACAAAACCTTTATCCCCTCCCTCCAACCTTTCCTAGGCCAACCCCTACCCTGCCTTCCTTCCACTACAGACTGCAGATACTCCAGATAATCCCATTTATTTCCCCCCACCGAAACTCCCCTACCCCCTTCAGCTTTGTTTCGCTTAGGGCCAGGACATCCAACTTCTTTTCATTCATAACATCATCAATCATCTGTTTCTTGTCATCCGCACTACATCCACGCACATTCAAGCATCCCAGTTTTATAAAGTTTTTCTTCTTCTCTTTTTAGTAAATGTCTACAGGAGAAGGGGTTAGTAGCCCATTGCTCCCGGCATTTTAGTCGCCTCATACGACACGCATGGCTTACGGAGGAAAGATTCTTTTCCACTTCCCCATGGACAATAGAAGAAATAAAGAAGAACAAGAGCTATTTAGAAAAAGGAGAAAAACCTAGATGTATGTATATATATGTGCATGTGCATGTCTGTGAAGTGTGACCAAAGTGTAAGTAGGAGTAGCAAGATATCCCTGTTATCTAGCGTGTTTATGAGACAGAAAAAGAAACCAGCAATCCTACCATCATGCAAAACAGTTACAGGTTTCTGTTTCACAGTCATCTGGCAGGACGGTAGTACTTCCCTGGGTGGTTGCTGTCTACCAACCTACTACCTACAACCTACTACCTTGTCATATACTATAAATTTGCCAATGAGCCACACTCACAAATTTAAAAATCCCATGAATAACACACATCCTACCCACCAAACAGGAAAAAGACAATAACCAGATATTGCAGACAGGAAAAATATATAGTTATATAAAAAAAAATGGCTATGCTTGGTTCCATGAACTACCACCACATGCAAGTAAAAGATACAAGTCCTACCCTTGAATCATCAGTTTTGGACATCCCCATCAATTTGTCCACTAAGTTATGCTACCTCCTGCCTTCTCATCCTCTAATGGATTCCTACTTCTAAGTAAACAAGGACTGTTAAACCATCCAGAGCTCCATCCACAACAAATATACAGCAGCTATATTTGGAAGGTGATGGTTCATCAAACCCAGGACAATTTAAACTGTAGTACTGTGCACATTGTTTCTGATGAACCACTTTGGAAACCCTACCAACAGTACATTAAAACAGGTGATAGCAACCACAGGAAGGCAACATGCACAGTACTTCACTATCTAACTTTATGTCATTGACTTTGATCCAGAGATAACCGTTTATAATACACAAATAACTCGCACATAGGAGAGAGGAGCTTACAATGACGTTTTGATCTGACTTGGACCATTTACAAAGTCACACTAACAAAAAGGAGAGGAGGGAGTACATATAGGCCAGCAGACAGGGATGGGACAAGAGTAGTAGTAGAAAAGGAAAAGGAGAGGTAGTAGTAGAAGTAGTAGTGGAGTCACTCAAAGACTAAGAAAGAGGAGTACTGCAAGGAAGCCCACAATGGACCAAACAACCAAGGCAGAAGAAAGAAAACCTAAAGGAGAAAGACAAAAGAGGCAAAAAACAAAAAGTCCGGGTCATTACATTCATGCCTCATTTACACTTTGAATGATTTAACATCGGTCTTCTGTATGACAGCTCATGGTAGTCTTGGAAAACAAATCTGCACCTGTGGTGTGATACCCCATGTTTACACTGATGTGGGCCATACCATACCACAATTAATCCTTTGAGATCTGAGGACATGATTCATGAACAGAGGAAATGTTTTAGTGCCTGGAATGTCTACATTGTTTATTTTGGACTTTAAATTGGCATTTTCTTAATTTTGTGTAAAAGTGGCCAAATTATCAACTTCACTTTATAGGGTAGTTGAAATGGTCAGTTTCCTGTGTTCAATTAATAGAACAGAAGGTATAAAAGCTAAGAATTTGGTCAAATGGAACAATGGAATTCACTTAATATAGGTCTCAAGGTGAGGAAAATCGCTGATGAATAAAATGCATCCAGACTGCTAGCTGGGTATTCTATAAGTTTTCCATCAAGTTTCATATTTTCGGTGTCATTACCTTCAAAAAGATTCTTTACAATTTCAGGTTTTTTTTTTTTTTTTTTAAGGTGGACACTTTGAGCAATATTAATTTTGGGAGTATGGACAGTGAAAGGGTTAAGGGGCATGTTAGTTCCCCTGTTTTCTAATGTTATTTTTTCCCTATACTCTACCTTGTCCATAATTACTATCGTATTTGCTTTGTCTGCTTTTGTAAGGCAAGATCTAAGATCTTTCCTTAATTCATGGTATAACTTAACAAATCTTTGAGGACAATTGTGGTGCAGAGGTCTCAGCAGTGCTCAGACCTGTGCAATCCAAAGCAAATGCGATAGTAATTGTGGATAAGGTAGATTATAGGGTAAAAATAAACGTGATATTAGGAGACGGAAACTCACGTGCCTCTTAAAGCATTTTTTAACTCTTTATGAAAAAATTGTATGCATATATACCTATGTATATGTATGCGTATATGCATGCATGTGCTGGATATGTTATGACATCCATCTTTCTCTTCCTCCACCTTTCTTTCTTTCCTCTGCCTATGTATACTTTCTCCCCCCCCCCCCCCCCCCACTCTGGTACAATGGAGATAGTGCCACAAAAATTCCCTTTCTGTGTATGGGATAGGGTATTTTGAGAGAGAGAGACCAATTCCCAGGTGATTACTCCAGCTATGCTGGAAGGAAACCTTTGCAGCTCCTGTAGCTGATTAGCCTTTGCTGAAATGTTTGACAATATCCTCCTTTCCGCACTGAAGTCTTCCAGCACCTTGTATTAACACCATCCTGAATGATGATATATGAGAGGGAAACATAGCAGCACACTGCTGATGTATCCCATTTTGTTTATAAAAATACCCAGATACTACAATCTTAGTGAATGTGTAGTGTTGGGGATAAGTGGTACATACCTGTGCTGGTTGCCTCCAATAACATCAGTGTTGTAGGGTTTTGGGCCAAGAGGTTTTATTTCCTCAGTCAGGCTGTAGCCTTGATTAATATACACCAGACAGGATTAACAAATAGTACTAGCTGTTGGTTTTTCTTGGGTCACTGAAGGGACATTGGTTCTAGTGATGAATTCTTATCAACGATCCAATTTGAGTCAACATGAGGCACTACGCCTTAAACCATGCCCCAGTAATTTTTTTTATCATTGCCATTCATATTTCATCGCTGGATGTTCTGTAGCCATTGACTGGGCTGAGAAAGATAGTGCAACAAGATTTTTTACTAGGCATTATACCACTGCTTACTGTCATTATCTTATCTGCACAAAAGTAGTTTTATCCCACATTCTGTGTAAAAATCTGATTTCAGGCCTGAGGGAAATGTTTGTTAAGAATTTTAAAGCTACTGTATTTTTATTTCCATAGAACAAGCATGTACAGTACCTTTGGGATAGACCATGTGGCAGAGAGAGCAACTGGTACTATTACCTCTATTTTTTTCCTTCCTTAGACAACAGAATGTGGATATACAACAAAGCAATTTTTGTATCTATTAGTGACCATACTGAATTTAGTCATTGGTCAAGGATGTGCCATAACTGACTAGGTCCTCTATGACTAGCAGATCTAGATGTATAGCCTGACTTGCCTGCATTATATCAGTGTAATGTAAGTGTAGCTATAACTGGGATTTCTCCATCAATGAGATATTTCTTCTGAGAACCGTACACATGCCAAAAGTTTCATGTATGTGGTGTGTGTGTAGTCTCTTCATGGCCAACTACAAGGAGTACAACTGATATTAGGTTGTTTCTCATGCATGGCTGTCTGAGGTAATAACCTCCTTGTTCTTAGCATGTAACGACCCACTATAATCACGTTAGAACTGTAATGCCATATGGGGCTTATGGTAGCTGCATCTATCAATTCTGTTGGAACCCATGGATTCTGGTTTTGAGATACAATGTGAGGCAGAAGTGCCTAAAGTTACTTTGTCAGGTCAGAATCCATACTTTGTCAAATTGGAATCAAAGGGGTTTCTGTCGAGCAAATGGGATTGCAATGCATGCTTAGTAGAAGCGTGTCATGACTTCCTTCAAAAGATTAGTGAGCATAAGGGAGCTGGAATATAGTCCTGTATTGGGACTTTGCATTTGAAGCCACATCTAACAGATCTGTAAAAGGGTAAAACCAATCATGGGATTCTGAGCATTCTCCAATGTGTGCTAACCCACATCTGGAGTACTCCATGTCACTATCTTATGTCTTACTAGTGGCTGACTTGTGGGGCAGGACTTAATATTGCATAACCCTCTGAATACAGTCGGGGGTCAGGACTATCCGTGATCAGGAATCTGAGAAAGAACCAGTTTGTCTTTACAATAATACTTTTTAACTAATGCAGACGCGCCTGCAAATTATAGGGAAATACAGGTCCCCTCACTACTTCAATCATCTTGACAGAAATATTAAGTGGACTATTTCTGCTCAATCTGTTCAGATATGGGGACACCCACACATGTACACGAGAATTAAAAGAAAAACAATCACTAGTGAAACGATCTTAGTAAGCAGTTATTTTTTGTAATTGTTTAATAATTCCACTTCAGAAACATAAGTCATTTGTAAACATGTGACATAAAAAAAATAAATTAATAAATAGGTTTAACTCTCTTATACAACTAGCATCCCTTTCATTCCACTGTTGTTTATATTGTTATAAACCATAATACTTCTCTACCTGAGTTTGGTCTTTAGAGAAGATATTTCTCTGTTCTGTGCCTCTTGGGATTCCATCATGTCTTCTACTTCCCGCTGAGCTTTACGACGCTGCATCTTCTCCTTTGATAGCTCGTCCTCAGTTTCTTCCATGGTGCGTTTTAAGTGTTTCACACGAGCATTTGACTAAAAAGATAAATTAATTAATTATACCTAGTGAAAAATTGGACAGTGTTTTTTTCTGTTAACAGATTGATATGCTGTAACTGGAAAAATAAGTTTTAATCCAATATCCTAAATGAGCATTATCTGCCTTGCTAGTTAATTAAAACAGTACTCTAAATGAAACAAGTATGGCCAGTGCACCTAAAATCAAGCATAGCAAATCTATGTACATGTCTGACCTAATAAAAGTTCAAAAAATAATTAGGTTAATAAAAGAAATACAGTATATGAAAAGACTTACTTTATCTAATTGCTCCTTATACTGGTCAGCATGACGGCGTTCATCCTCCATTTGCATTACCAACTCCTTTAACTTTTTCTCAAGCTTGCGGTTGGCCTTTGCTTGAGTCAGACGATCACGAGATTCAACCTCAAGTTGCTCTTCTAAGTTGGAAACCTAATAAAAATTTAATTCACTTACATTATTTTCTTTCATTATTTCACTTAATTTCCAACTCTTCTTCACATTCTTAATCAAAATCAATTGGCATATTATGTTAACAGCAGCATCTCTCACCAATAAATTATGACCCCTTTATTCTTTTTGTCTAGAAATTCACCAACAGACGTATACGACATATTTAACATGTGTCCAGTATTTCATACAATGAATCCATTTTATAATGTTGGTCCTAACTATAAAAAGCATTTTATACTGGATAACTACTGTGGATCTAGGTAGTAGGTTGGTAGACAGCAACCACCCAGGGAGGTACTACCATCCTGCCGAGTGTAAAACTGAAGTCTGTAATTGTTTTACATGATGGTAGGATTGCTGGCGCCTTTCTTCTGTCTCATAAGCATGCAAGATTTCAGGTACGTCTTGCTACTTCTACTTACACTTAGGTTACACTACACGTGTGTACAAGCATGTACATACACACACACCCCTCTGGGTTTTCTTCTATTTTCTTACTGGTTCATGTTCTTGTTTATGTCCAATATCTCCATGGGAAAGTGGAACAGAATTCTTCCTCCGTAAGCCATGCGTGTTGTAAGAGGTGACTAAAATGCCGGGAGCAAGGGGCTAGTAACCCCTTCTCCTGTATATATTACTAAATGTAAAAGGAGAAACTTTTAATTTTCCTTTTGGGCCACCCTGCCTCACTGGGATACGGGCAGTTTGTTGAAAGAAGAAATACACTGGTCTTCAACTACCCCTCACCACCTTAAATTTATTCATACATAGCTTTTTGCACTAATATTTTACCTTCCTTTCCAATTTACCATAATACAAATATAAACCAACCTTTGATTCCAGTGCTGCTATGGTTGCTTTCGTCTTTGATCGGATTTCAACCTCCAGTTCTGCTAGTTTAGCCTTGAGTTCTTTGTTCTGGCGCTCCAACATAGATCTCTGGCCCTCAAGCTTCACCACAGATGACTTCTCTGTGTTGTAATCAGTTTGCAACTGTTCCATGGAAAGCTGACTCTTTCTCATTTTATCCATTAGTACCTGTCAATGAAAAATTAAGTTGTCACTATTTTCAAAGATATCGGAGTGATAATAGGTATCTTAAAGACTGCTCTTAATATATAATATGTATTTCATTAGTAATTTGAGACAAAAATAGTCACCCTGTACTGCTGCACCACTTACAGAAGATATGATTCAAGACAAAAATTATCACAATTTAAATTACCTCAACATTGCCCTGTTCATCTTCTAGTTCTTCTTCTAGAGTAGAGATGCGAGCCTCAAGCCTCTTTTTCTCGTCTGCACTCAAGGTGGCCTTAGACGAGTATTGGTTAAGTTCCTCTTGGAGTTCATCTCTCTCAATCTCTGCATTCTGATGAAGTAATGTTTATTAGGTAACAATTGTATTTAGTAATTTTACAGTTAACAAACAGATGTTCATTCATGTGATACAACCTGCTACATTTATAATAACTACTATACTATAAAATTAAAAGCTATCTTTGCCAAAAGGAATCCTAAGAGAGACATGTTAAATCTGTGTCAGTCAATAGCACATTTAAAAAATAATAAAACATGTGCAGTACATAAATGGGTAATTTATTTGGATTAATTTCTAATAACCATTAAATTTATTGACAATGCAACAAATATCATAAATTAATATGCTGCATTTGTATAAACAAAAATTAATATGCAAAGAGTAAGGACTACAATATTAACAGGCCTCAGTCTGCTGGCCCTACAGCCAAGTTTGAACTTGACACTCGCCCTGCAGGAAGTAATTTGGAGAACAATGAAACTTATCATAATCTTGACTAACAAATTTGGTTAAGTAATGTGCCTCTTTCTCACACATATGTGGAGTCAGCAGTTTGAGGTCAGTACAGTTCCTTCCTCACCCTTTCACAGCAAAGAAATACTGTACACAAAAATGAACACAACTAAGAAATATAGGGAATGTTGTAACTGAACTAACAAATACACACACCCAAGAGAGATGAACAGGAGCCAAAGCCTCCTGCAGGACAAGCAAGGAGGCCTAGGACCAGAACAAGAATGAATTTATACAATAATATCAAGGGCTGAACATGGAGGGAAAAAAAAAAAAAAAGACAGACAGACATTAAGTATGACACTAGCGAATTATCCATGATGCACACATCAAACAGTCCCAATCACAAGAAAATGCAGACACAACCATTACAACAGTTTTGAGAGCCAAAAAATGGGAACACTTCAGGAAGAGAAACACTAAAATGACAGAGGAAGGCAAGTATTAAGTAAATTGAGCAAGGAAACAATAGATCCTGAAGGCAAAACAGACAACATAATTATAATAAAAAGAGGCGAGATGAAGACATGGGCAAGCTCACTTCATCTTCAATAAATCACCTGAAACAAAAATTAGTAGATGCTTAGAAGATGGAAAATTTCATTCCATTATTCAGTAGAGGAGATGAAGGCAACCTATATAGAACCTTGACATGTTTATCAAGCTAAGTAATGAAAATGGCAAGAAAACATGAAATACTGATTTATTAATTCTTCACAGATCAAAAAACTTCAGAAATAGGATGTCTTGACTCATGTCTACAGAAGCAGACAATACATTCCTCACCTGCAAGAAAGTCTTTCAGAACAACAAGACTTCTGATTGGTAAGTGAAACAAGTAACACTGTACCAGAATTACCAACAAGAAGTTCTAAATTACCCGATATGTCCTAAACAAGCATATCCTGCAGCGAGGAGGTGGTTGGAGGCAGTAGAGATGCGCTGTTTAAGGGCAATGTGTGGTGTAAATATTATGCAGAGAATTCAGAGTGTGGAAATTATGTGGTGTGGAGTTGATAAAAGTATTAGTCAGAGGGCTGAAGATCGGTTGTTGAGGTGGTTTGGTCATTTAGAGAGAATGGATCAAAGTACAATGACATGGAGAGCGTATAAATCTGTAGGGGAAGAAAAGCGGGGTAGGGGTCATCCTCGAAAAGGTTGGAGGGAGGGGGTAAAGGAGGTTTTGAGGGCGAGGGGCTTGGACTTCCATCAAGCGTGCATGAGCATGTCAGATAGGTGTGAATGGAGACGAATGGTTTTTGGGACCTGACGAACTGTTTGAGTGTGAGCAGGGTAATATTTAGTGAAGGGATTCAGGGGAACCGGTTATTTTTATATAGCCAGACTTGAGTACTGGAAATGGGAAATACAATGTCTGCACTTTAAAGGAGGGGTTTGAGATATTGGCAGTTTGGAAGGATATGTTATAGTATATCTTTATATATGCTTCTAAACTGTTGTATCTGGGTGCCTCTGCAAAGACAGTGATTATGTATGAGTGAGGTGAAAGTGTTGAATGATGAAAGTATTTTCTTTTTGGGGATTTTCTTTGTTTTTGGGTCACCCTGCCTCGATGGGAGATGGCTGACTTGTTGAAAAAGAATACAAGAAAGTCTGGATCAACACTTAGAAAAAATTCCTCATCAAATGGATGAGCAATCATGCCTAATAAACCTTACAGACTAACACAGGTCATCCGAGATAAAAAAAAAAAATTTGGGTGGACTTCAGGGACATGAACTGTAAGAAAACCTTGGAAACTATGCAACAAAGGTTATTCAGCAAACTTTATATAAAAGTTAAGGTAACAAGAAAGAATGTAACACAGATTAGGAAATATTTAAAAACTAGGAAGCTTATAGTTATTGAAATAAAGATAAACGAGTTAATCAGTGGAATTACTCAAGGATCAGTATAGGGTCTCGTAATGCTTCTAGTACATAAGTAACTTATGAAAAGGAGTAAACTCCTGTACATCAATGTTTGCAGACGATACCACAACAGTGAGAAGAATGTGACAGATAACTGTAGGAGAACCTGAGTAAACCACAAAAATGGTTAAATACAACCCATCTTCAAAAGAGCTTGTTTTCCAACATTTTAAAGTGCATCATTTTCTGAATGATCTAAAGAAAGTACAAACACAGTTTCTTAAGGCAAGGTTACTTCAATTTAACCTAAATTTAAAAGCAGTAGAATTAATCACAAAAAGAAATTAACAGATGAGAGGGTAACTTCTTGCAGTAGAAGATGCATCGCCAATGCTTAATTCACTGAATTTTTTTTATGTATTATAGTGCGAGAATCAAGAAAAGATGTTAGAGAGTTTAAACCTCAGTAAAAGCAAGATTACAAAACCAAAACAAAGGAAGGCAATAAGAGACGGTACCCTACAGCTGGCAATAAGAAAGATGACGGCTCAGGAAATATAGAATCCATTTAAAAATACCCATTACCCCAAGATTGTTGCATGAAGCACACGAACAACACATGCTACTAAATATTTGAACTTAAAGATAACATTCAGAAACCTAGATAAAGGCACAACTGAAAAACCACATTACCTCATTTATGAGATGAAGTCTAATAAGCAGCACTAGTGTGGAATCCTCAGGTAGTTACATACAAACCAAGACTTTAGAGGGGTCCAAAGAAGTGTATCTAGACTGGTGCCAGAGTTGAGAATAAAGAGCTAAAAGGAAAGAACTAAACTGCCTTTCTCCAGAAGAACAAAGAATATGAAGGTGAAAGATCATGACATACAAAAATACTCAGGAGTATGGATAAAACACTTTACCAAAGCAACAAGAGGATATGGAAACCACACACCCCAATAAGCAACAGGTGTATTTCAACAGAAGTGAAGTAGAATGATTTTGACAAAGTAAAAAAAAAAAAAAAAAAAAAAATACAAATAAGCAATTATCAATAAGTACTGTAATTACAAAGAGGCAATTATCAATAAGTACTGTAATTACTTATTGATAACTGCTTATTTGTAATTATAAAAAAGCAATTACATATGAGTAGTTACAAGCTGGAGAGGGAGAATTCATTGAATGCCTAGTAAGGTACTGGTATGTCTTACCAAACAGAAAAGAGCAAGCAACAACAGAAGACAAAGTTTTAAAGTAAGAGTAACTAGAATACCCCAGGAGAGGGCTAGGCCATGCTGTTTCTAGTGTATGTTATTGACCTGTTTGTGGGGATACATCTGCAAAATTTTGTAGGTGACAAATTTACAAAAAGGACAAAAATGTGACAGTAGGAAGCTGCAAGAAGACTTGGACAAAATAAAATGTCAAAAAATGGGTCCTCAAGTTTTACAATGCCAACAGCAAAATAAAAAGAATGGGGGTGAAAGACTGGAGAGAACACAATTTGACAATCTGAAAGGGAACCAGCTTACCTGCAACATATCTGAAATAGAAAAAAATTTAAAAAAATTACACTAAATCTGCCCCCTTTCTCCACCTATGCACATTAACAGGTAATTCCATCATCTTCAGAAATCTAAAATTATTAAAAAAAAGTAAAGCTCTCACCACACAGTTGCAACCATTCCTTGAATACATACCGCCAATGTGGAGCCCTCACCTGACCAAAGGAAAATTGAGAAGATCCACAGGTATGCATTCAGACTAGTACCAGATTGTAGAGGACTGTTTTAAGAGGATAAACTATATGAGCTAGAGCAGAGGCCGGGGAACTGGGGTAAATTACCACAAATGGGATAAAAATGAAAATCTCGGGGGTTATGAAGTCTCAAACAAATAAAACTGCACAAATATTTACTATTTAATAAGCAAGACAAATTATGAAAGTCTTATTTCTCAAACAAATAATTTTTAGTTTTTTAATAAAAATAAAAATTAATTTGTAGGGACCATTTCTTAAGTTGGCCTGCAGTTCATTTTTCATTTTGTTAATTCTGAATTTTATTTTTGAAGTTGCATTATCATATGTAATTCATACTTTTCACCTTGTATGACTATTCTCCATGCAAATGGATTCAATAAACTAATCCAAATTTGAATGCTCCTTGTGTTTTCCCAGATTCTGTGAGTAATTTCGCTGCACACAAATTTGTTTTGGGGTAAAACTCTGAGCTACAGTTTTGCCCTTAACCCTTTCATTGTCTGTACCGTAGTACTAAGGGTTTGAAGTCACTACTGGTGCCGTAGTGCTGTGCCATGAGCTCAGCTCACTCAAACTGCAAGTAGTAAATTTGGGTTTAGATATGAGAGAATGGGTCTATGCAATAAGTGTGCACCACAAAAAAAATCCTGCAGCATGCAGTGCATAAGAAAAAACTGCGGCAGTTTTTGGTTTAAAACAGTGACTTTGTGGTGTATTTTCATATGCATTTTATGGTTGTATTCTCAGTTTCTTGGTCTCATTTGATAGGTGGAAGATATATTACAGAAATAGAGATGATTTTGACTGGTTTCAGGACTGAAAATAGTTGAAATTTGCCTCAAAGTAGTTGAATTGTTTGATTTTTGATGTTCAAGAGTAAATAAATTATGTCACTCATCCAATACATGTCAACTGGTAGATTTAATATGCATTCAATTATGCTTTATTATTTAAACAATTATTACAATACTGCATAACAGTAAATCTACTTTTTCTGTGTGAATTTTGTGGAATTCATATTTAAAGCCTGGGAATGTAGCTAATGAACAGAGGAAATGTTATTTTAGTGCCAGGAATGCCTGCATTGTTTATTCTGGACCCCATTTTGAAATTGGAATATTTTGAAATTTGTGAAATTGGCCAAATTACCAATTTCTGATCACTGTATTGGGTAGCTGAAATAGTTGATTGGGCAGTTTCTTGTACTCAGTCGATAAAATGGAAGACATATTAGCGAAATACCTAAGAATTTGCTCTACCGGAACAATGTAATAGGCCTAAAACAGGACTCAAAGTAGGCAAAAATCATTGATCCATAAATATCATTGACATAGCAAAATTCGGAAAAGCGTAATTTCGGCAATTTTCCATCAAATTTCGTGCTTTTATTTTATTACCTTCAGAAAAAGATTCTCTACTATTTCATAAGAAAAACATTTTTTTTTTTAAATTCCCGGACACTCTGGATAAGTTTCAGATCCCGGGTTTGGACAATGAAAGGGTTACGGAATGCTGAACAAGAGGCAATATGATAAAGACATACTGTAGATTTTGTACAAGTCTGACAAGGAAAGTATGAGAAGAGTTCAAAACAAGACTAAGAATAGAACACTACAGGACAACTTTAAGAATAACAAGTAAGACCAGGAATACAATGGCTATAATGATACCAAACTGATTGTGCTACAAATTTTACTATACACAGCCCAATTCAGTGACCTTCCAATAAATTATTACAATAAGAGCTTCATTTTTACACAGCAATTATGAGATCGAAACCAGTTTGGGGAGGGGAAGGGGTGATGGACTTCTACTAGACATGTCATCATCTTACAAAATACATTTGGGAACTAATCTGAAAAAAGTAAACCTGGTATTTGCTGAACTGTGTGAATCTCTTACCAATAGCCTGACTGATCAAGCTATCAACTAGTTCTGGCCTAAGCTGTGGGGTAATGACCACCAGAACCATCATCCAGTAGAATGTGAAAGGATCTGGACAAACTGCAGAGTTGGTCAGATAAGTGGTTGCTTGAATTCAACCCCAGTATATGCAAGGTTATGAAGATATAAGAAGGGGGCCACTAGAATGGACACAAAGCGTACACTGAGGGGATAAAGACTCCACACCTCATTCAACAAGAACCTAGGAGTAAGCATAGTGACTATCATGTCATCAGAGGCTCACAACAAGATAACCTATGCAACCAATGATCACCTGGCAAATCTGGGTGACCTTCAGGAGCCTCAACAAGCCATACTGGTTACTTAATACAACATATAAGAACATAAGAATGTAGGGACACTGCAGTAAGCCTACTGGCCCATACAAGGCAGCTCCTTAAATACAATATATGTCAGGCTCATCTGAGTATGCAGAACCAATATGGAAACCACACCTGAGGAAGCACGTTATGAAACTGGAGAAAGTGCAGAAGTATGTAACGAGACTGGTTCCAGAGTTAAGGGGTATGCACTACAAGGAAAGGTTAAGGAACTGAATCTAAACTCTGAAAGACAGAAAGGCCATAGGAGATATATCATACAAAATACTCAAGAATAATTGACATGATAGACAGGGACAGGCTGTAAACAACGACACAGCTGGAAACTATACACAAGTCAGAGAGATGTCAGGAAATATTTCTTCAGTTTCAGGGTGGGTGGGAAGTAGAATACCCTCGATGAAGTGATGGTAGAAGGCAGACTTCACACAGTTTTAAGAATAGGTACAACAGGGCCCACAAGGTTAGGAGAGAATCTGGCAAGCAGTAAGTTGAAAGGCAGGGCCATGAGCTATAACTACCCCCTGCAACCACACAAGTCTGAAAATCTTTCCTTACCTTGTGTCCTTGCAGTCTAACAGACTACTTATCAATCCTCTCCAATAAAGTTCAATCTTATGTTATAAATCTAACGCAATTCCAGTTTTTTTCCTATCAATCAACTAGCTATATCTGCTTTTAAAGCTTCCTCCCTACTTTTTTATTTCTAATACCATGTCTTATTTGGAATTTCCCAATTCAGCAATGACTCAGCTTAAAAACACTTATCTTTAAAATGGGAAACTCATCTACCTGCTGCAGCTTTATAACTCCTCATTCTATATACCCCATGCCAGCAGTGAGCTAAGTAAACCAACTGTACACAGAATCCATGTTCAAGTATTCTGCTTGCTTCAATGTCTTTATGGCACAACTACTCTCTGATGCTGTCATATCTTGAGCAATTTTCTGCTGCTTCATATCAAACAGGGCTCCTATCAATGCTAAACTAGAAAGACAGCTTAGCTATGGTCCATATAATCTCTATTTTAAAATCTTTGTTATATGCACCAGTATACTTATCCATTCTGCCCTGGACAATGCTTAAGACTAATTAACAGGACCTTAAAATTATAACCTTCTACGTATGCTAACCTACTTAATGCATTAGGTGGAAAGAGGATAAACAAAACATACAGAGGTTTAAACAAATGAAAAAGAGTTACTTAATGCCATTCAAAAACAGAAGCAAGCCCAAGAGCTAAAGCTCATTCTTACTCTAAAAACTTCAATACACAAAAATAATTACAAGCTAACTTTCCTTTTATTTATAAGGTATAAACAAGAATTAATGTAGCATCTCATTATTGAGAGCTCCCAGGAAATTTTACAAAACTGCACAAGAAAAACAAATTATATGTAAAAGTTATTTTTTACTAAATACTCAGCCTTTATGTAAATCTTACCTTGCGAGCTCTTTCAGCAGAACCAAGATCTTCCTGGTACTGAAGCAGTTCAGTTTCCATGACCTTAATCTTTCTTTCCAATTCCTTGTATTGAACAGACATTTCTTCCCGTGAAGCTCTACTCTCTTCTGCCTCTCTCTGATATTCCTTCAGTTGTGCTCCTGCTCGCTTTAACTGCTTGAGTGCATCATCCTTGACCTTGCTGTTCATCTCTAACTGACCTTCCATGTCCTTAAGATCACCCTCCAACTTCTTGCGTGCTGTTACTGCAGCTGTGCGTTGCTTACGCTCTTCCTCGAGCTCTGCCTCGAGTTCTCGCAGCTGTTTCACAAGTCCACGTCTTTTTTCCTCTCCCTGTTCCTCTCTAGCATTCAGGTCACGTTCAAATTGTGCCTTCATTGCTTGCATATTTACTTCTAGTCTTAGCTTGGCATCCTCTGTTAGCTGTAGTTCATCTTCAAGTTCTTCAATCTGCAAAGATAAATAGTAATTACTCCATAAAGAAGTGGAGAAGAATCCTTCCTCTGTAAGCCATGTATGTCATAAGAAGCTACTAAAATACCAGGAGCAAGTGGCTAATAACCCCTTCTCTTGTATAAATTACTAATGGTGAAAGAGGACTCGAGTGTTGAAAATAAAAAATAATTACAACTGATTCTAATACAATAGTTTTAAATTATACCAAAGACCAAGTGTTCCATTTTAAGTCAGGTGTTACAAGTATTTGTAATTATTTACCTGAGTCTTCTGTTCAGCCAACTGGGATTCCAGAGCACGTTTTGCTTTTTCCAGTTCATGAACATTCTTATCAGCAGTCCCACGAGTTGAAACCAAATCATCAAGTTCAATTTGTAATCGTTTCTTGCCAGTTTCAAGGTCTTCAATACGTTCCATGTATTCCTCCAAAGTTCTAACAAAGTACATATCGAAAATACAATAATTAATAAATACAATTAAGAGCATTAAACCTGACCATTATTAGATTGCAAATACTCTACACATTACTTTTTTGCCAAATTAATTATTTCTTATACACTAACAACTGGGCCAAGTACTGCTGCAAGCTCTGAAAAGTTATGATACACAAATATTTGTGCAGAACTGTTGAATAAATATGAAATACAGGGGAAAAAGCATAAATCAAATAACAATAGTGCAAATTTACCTGTTCAGTGATAGGATCTTTGTCTCCTTTTCCCTAGCCTCTCGTTCTGAATTTTCCTTCTCCTGTTGACAACGTTCATAATTGCTCTTCTCTTCATTGAGCAGTTTGTCAAAGTTACGTTGCTTCTTCTCCAGCTCGACAACCTTGGCACGGTTAGCATCAATGTCAACTTGAGCATCTTCCAGTTCAGCTTGCAACTTGCGTTTACTCTTCTCTAATTTCTCATTTGTGGCTTCCAATTCAGCCAAGCGAGCACGGAGCTCTTCCAGTTCTTTCATCTGGCGCTTGCGCGTCTCTTCCAACTGTTGTGCATTTCCAGACTCTTCATCAGCTTTCTTCTTTGCCTCACTTAACTGTACTTGTAGAGTAGCAACTTGTTTCTCGAAATTACGCTTGGCACTCTCCTCTTCTTCGAGAGACTCTTGTAAATGATCTTTCTCTTGTTCTAGAGCACGTACACGAGAGTTGAGGTTGAGCTTCTGCCGTGTTTCTTCCTCAAGAAGACCTTGAGTCTCTTGCAAGTGAGCTTCTAGATTTTTTAACTGGTTATTAGCAGACATGGCTTTGGAATCTGCTTCTTCCACTGCAATATTTGCAGCACTTAACTCCTGCTCTAACCTTGTAAGACGTTCTTGAATGTCAGATTTGTTACGCTCTGATTCTGCAATCTTTTGCTGCATATCTGAGATTATAGCTTCATATTGTTTTCGTTTCTTTTCACTTTCCTGTTTGCTAACTGTAAGGCTCTTCAGTTCATTTGCCATGTCTGCATTTTCAGCTTCAAGTTGATTCTTGGCTTTATCCAAACCAGCTTTTAGTTTCTTGAGCTGATCAATTTCTACATTCAGATTCTCAAGCGCATGCCCGTGTTTCTGCCGTAGCTCAGTAATCTGTTGTTCATGAAGTGCCTGATCATCATCTAAACTTTTCTTTAAAGAGGCTAATTCCTCTTCTCTCTTGCTGCGTAATTCTTGTTGTGCTGCCGTTGTATCCAGTGAATCTAACAGCTCATTTTTAAGTGCCTCCAATTCCTCATTCAAGTCTCTCTTCTGCTTCTCAGCCTTTGCTCTTAGGTTACGCTCTGCTTCAAGGTCTTCCTGTAATTCGTTTAATTGGGATTCCACCTCACGCATATTCTTCTGCAGCTGTGACTTTGCTGCAGCCTCTTCATCAACTCTCATCATGGCTTGTGCTAATTCTTCCTCTCGTTTAGCCAACTGAATCTGTACTTCGTGAATCTGATTCTTTTTCTCATTAATCTGTTCCTTCAAATCATTAAGATCCGTTTCACACTTCCTCTTTGCACGTTCTAATTCTGATCTGCCTTGCTGCTCTTTTTTAATTCTATCCTCAAGTTCTGTAAGCATAGATTCATGCTTTGCTTTGAGTTTCATAAGATGTTTAGATTTTTCTTCTTCTTCTGCTAATGTACTTGAAACATCTGAGGAACGTTCTTCCAGTAATTTCTTCTCTTTTAGCAATTTCTGGTTTGAATCCTCAAGTAATGCATAGTCCTCTTCGAATTTCTTAATTTTACCATCACACTGAACTTTCTCTAGTTGGAGCTTTTGCCGAGCAGCCTCCTCCTCTTCTAGCTGTTCCTCTAGATCCTGAATCTGTAGCTGGAGTTTCTTTTTCTCAGTTGTAAGGTTACTCGTACGCTCTTCTTCCTCTTCTAGTCTGGTTTCCATATCATGCAATATATCTTCGAGTTCTTGTTTTCTTGCTAACAAACGGGCCCTCATTTCTTCAGCTTCAGCACATAACTCTGTCTCTGCCTGTAACTGTTCTGCCAAGACATTCTTTTCCTGTAATGCTTGTTGGAATTTGTTTTCCATGTCTGTATTAGTTTTCTTCTGAGCTTCAAGCACATGTTGTATCATCCTGAGTTCCTCCTCTTTCTGAACAAGCTTTTCTTCCTGTTTAGTCACTTGGAGAAGTGGTTTTACCTTTGTGTACAGACGCCACCATTGCCAGTTACGGAGCTTGAGATAAGCAGCACAGTTACGTTGGATGATTCTAATGGCATTAAGCTGCTGAAGCCTCTTTTGGTAGTTCTTTCGAGCCAACATACCACGACAATATGCCTGGAATTGTACAATAAGATCTGTCATTTTAATATCTCTCTCCTCTTCCAGTGATGCTAAAACACCAGCTCTCAGGAAAATCTTGCTCTGGCCAATGCGGTACAAGTTGGGTTCAAGTTCTAGGGCCTGGATCATCATTTCACAGGCCTTTTTGCCATCCATAAAGCCTTTGGGGATAACATTGGGAGTGAGGAGTTCATATCGCTGGCGGAACTCTTGGAAGGGGATGCGGTTAGGGAATCCTTGGCGACAGATTCTGATACCTTCGAGCACACCATTACACCTGAAAGACAATTACATTGAGCACTAAATAATATAACTACTATGGATTAACAAAGTAAAATATTAACCTTTTAATATACAATTCACAGAGGCAAAAAGCTACTTAACATTGAGTTTAATACATCCTTTAGTTTTCTAGCAGCCTTGTAATTTAATTTTGAAGTTAAAGGAAAATTATCAGTAAGAAACTTTAAAGGAATAAAGAATAGCAGGAGGTAATGGATTCAAGAAAGGAGGGCAGATACAAATTCCATCCCTGACAAGTGTCAAATGCCACTATTCCAAAGTTGTTTTAATTCCTAGATGTTCCAATACCTTAGAAGATATTTAAAATCATAAATATAGCATTTCCAACATTGTCAAACAAGTATCATGAAAATATCAAATAAAAATGTTTAGCAGAAACTAACATATATGCTTATAATGACAATAAGGAAATGTTTAACCCTGAGTAGCTTCTACAGTTAGAACTGAAGAAGCCACTTGTTAAATTTAAATTTATTGATCTGTGCATACATGTATCATTCCAGTTCTTGTTAATATTACCATACCAATTCAACTTTGAAATACCTAGGTTTAAAATAAAAATTATTTATATAAATTCTTTTTTTTTTTTTAAATTCTTACCTCAGCTGATCAAGCACAAGACCTGCATCAATTTTGCCAGCTCGCTTGTCATGATTTGGGATTATGCATCGCACGAAGTTGGGGTTGGTGTTTCTCAGAGTCATCATGAGCTTGGTCAACTGCTCCTTGTACAGCTGGCTTACTGTGCGGAACATTCCTTTCCTAGTACGAGCACCAAACTGGCTGTCGCCCATCGCCTGTTGGGCCATTCCAACAATCTCGGCTGCAAATATTTTGTAGGGTGGTCAGAGTAGCTGAAACATCTCTTATCACAAGAGCAGCTATGAAGAAATTACTGGATAGAACCAAATAAATTTTGGAATTCTCCTTTGTAATATGCCTTTAAATACTGTACTACAGATACATTTTTTCCCTAATGTCTGGAACATTAAAAAATTACCAATTTTGAGAAAATTAACAATGGCTGCCAATGTTTGAAACTGTCTTTCTTACAAATACGCAGGCTTCCGGATTTTCAAATTTGTATTATCCAACATTTTCAGTATGGGCAATCAACATTATATTAAATTACCCACTGTCTTTTTGGATCAAATAGCTATCTATTCTGGTCATTATTTTTTATAAATAGCAATATTAAGCAGATTAGTGCAATATAGTACAGAAATATGGTTTTGTGTGCAAGGGGCTTGGACATATAGCAGCTATGTGTGAGTATGTTAGATAGGACTGAATGGAGATAATTGGTTTTTGGGACTTGATGACCTGTTGGAGTGTGAGCAAGATAATATTTTGTGAAATTAGGGAAAATAACACTTAAAAGGGAGGGGTTAGGACGATGCAGTTATAGAGGGAATGTTATGTATCTTTATTTGTTTGCTCAGTTAGAGTGATTTGAGATCTGGCAAAAAGGAAATGAAAGTAAAGGGGGGTGAAAGTGTTAATGATGAGGAAAGTTCTTGGGGGATTATCTCTTTTTGGCAGCACGGTAGGGCTAGTGAAAAAATTCAGGAATATTAGGGGATGGGTGGGGTGTTGAGGGAGATTAATCGGGTTTTGGAATAGTAGTTAAAAATGAGGATATAGAATGTGGGACAGAAGAAGGTTTAGTGGTTATAAGGAAAAGGGGTTGGGGGCAGGAGAGAAAGGGAGTGAAGATGGTGTGGGTGGGTGGGGGGAGTTGAAGAGGGTTTGGAAAATTTAAAAATGAAAAGATTAGATTGATGAGAGGTTTTTACAAAGAGAGTGTTTATAAGAAGAGCAGAGGTATATGGAGGTAAAAGAAAGGTGAAGAGAGTTGGAGTAGTGGAGGTGAGAGAGTGCAAAAGGAGAGCAGATGATAGAGTGGGAGAGGCACTCAAGAAATTTTAATGAAAATAAGACAAAATTTTGGAGTTAAACAAGTTAAGAAAGCCTAGGGAAGTATGGATTTGTCAGTTTAAAACAGAGTAGGGGAGTTAGTAGATGGGAAGATGGAGGTATTAGGTAGATGGTGAAAATACTTTGAGGAACTTTTAAATGTTAAGGAAGAAAGAGAGGCGGTAATTTCATGCACTGGTCAGGGAGGTATACCATCTTTTAGGAGTGAAGAAGAGCAGAATGTAAGTGTGGGGGAGGTACGTGAGGCATTACGTAGAATGAAAGGGGGTAAAGCAGCTGAAACTGATGGGATCATGACAGAAATGTTAAAAGCAGGGGGATATAGTGTTGGAGTGGTTGGTACTTTTGTTTAATAAATGTATGAAAGAGGGGAAGGTACCTAGGGATTGGTGGAGAGCATGTATAGTCCCTTTACATAAAGGGAAAGGGGACAAATGAGACTAAAAATTATAGAGGAATAAGTTTACTGAGTATACCAGGAAAAGTGTATGGTAGGGTTATAATTGAAAGAATTAGAGGTAAGACAGAATGTAGGATTGCGGATGAGCAAGGAGGTTTCAGAGTGGGTAGGGGATGTGTAGATCAAGTGTTTACATTGAAGCATATATGTGAACAGTATTTAGATAAAGGTAGGGAAGTTTTTATTGCATTTATGGATTTAGAAAAGGCATATGATAGAGTGGATAGAGGAGCAATGTGGCAGATGTTGCAAGTATATGGAATAGGTGGTAAGTTATTAAATGCTGTAAAGAGTTTTTATGAGGATAGTCAGGCTCAGGTTAGAGTGTGTAGAAGAGGGAGACTACTTCCCGGTAAAAGTAGGTCTTAGACAGGGATGTGTAATGTCACCATGGTTGTTTAATATATTTATAGATGGGGTTATAAAGGAAGTAAATGCTAGGGTGTTCGGGAGAGGGGTGGGATTAAATTATGGGGAATCAAATTCAAAATGGGAATTGACAGTTACTTTTTGCTGATGATACTGTGCTTATGGGAGATTCTAAAGAAAAATTGCAAAGGTTAGTGGATGAGTTTGGGAATGTGTGTAAAGGTAGAAAGTTGAAAGTGAACATAGAAAAGAGTAAGGTGATGAGGGTATCAAATGATTTAGATAAAGAAAAATTGGATATCAAATTAGGGAGGAGGAGTATGGAAGAAGTGAATGTTTTCAGATACTTGGGAGTTGATGTGTCGGCGGATGGATTTATGAAGGATGAAGTTAATCATACAATTGATGAGGAAAAAAAGGTGAGCGGTGCATTGAGGTATATGTGGAGCCAAAAAATGTTATCTATGGAGGCAAAGAAGGGAATGTATGAAAGTATAGTAGTACCAACACTCTTATATGGATGTGAAGCTTGGGTGGTAAATGCAGCAGCGAGGAGGCGGTTGGAGGCAGTGGAGATGTCCTGTTTAAGGGCATTGTGTGGTGTAAATATTATGCAGAAAATTCGGAGTGTGAAAATTAGGAAAAGGTGTGGAGTTAATAAAAGTATTAGTCAGAGGGCAGAAGAGGGGTTGTTGAGGTGGTTTGGTCATTTAGAGAGAATGGATCAAAGTAGAATGACATGGAAAGCATATAAATCTATAGGGGAAGGAAGGCAAGGTAGGGGTCGTCCTCGAAAGGGTTGGAGAGAGGGAGTAAAGGAGGTTTTGTGGGCGAGGGGCTTGGACTTCCAGCAAGCGTGCGTGAGCGTGTTAGATAGGAGTGAATGGAGACGAATGGTACTTGGGACCTGACGATCTGTTGGAGTGTGAGCAGGGTAATATTTAGTGAAGGGATTCAGGGAAACTGGTTATTTTCATATAGTCGGACTCGAGTCCTGGAAATGGGAAGTACAATGCCTGCACTTTAAAGGAGGGGGTTTGGGATATTGGCAGTTTGGAGAGATATGTTGTGTATCTTTATATGTATATGCTTCTAAACTGTTGTATTCTGAGCACCTCTGCAAAAACAGTGATAATGTGTGAGTGTGGTGAAAGTGTTGAATGATGAAAGTATTTTTCTTTTTGGGGATTTTCTTTCTTTTTTGGGTCACCCTGCCTCGGTGGGAGACGGCTGACTTGTTGAAAAAAAAAAAAAAAAATTCAGGGAAACCAGTTAATTTTATATAGTAGGACTTGAGTACTGGAAATGGGAAGTATAATACCTGCACTTGAAAGGAGGGGTTTGGAATACTGGCAGTGTGGAGGCATATGTTACATATCTTTATATATGTTTCTAAACTATTGTATCTGGGTGCCTCTGAAAAGACTGATTATGTATGAGTGACGTGAAACTGTTGAATGATTAGGAAAGTATGTTCTTTTTGGGGAGTTTTTCTTTTTTGGGTCACCCTGCCTCCGTGGGAGAGGCCGACTTGTTGGACAAAAAAAATAGTAGTACTAGGTAGTAGGTTGGTAGACAGCAATCATTCAAGGTCCTACCGTCCTACCATGAGTGTAAAAATGAAGCCTGTATTTGTTTTACATGATGGTAGGATTGCTGGTGTCTGTCTGTCTCATAAACATGCAAGATTTCAGGTATGTCTTGCTACTTCTACTTACACTTAGGTCACACTACACATGCATGTACAAACTTATAATTACATACACCCCTCTGGGTTTTCTTCTATTTTCTTTCTTGTTCTTGTTTATTTCCTCTTATCTCCATGGGGAAGTGGAACAGAATTCTTCCTCCATAAGCCATGCATGTTGTAAGAGGCGACTAAAATGCCGGGAGCAAGGGAGCTAGTAACCCCTTCTCCTGTATAAATTACAAAATTTAGAAAGAGAAACTTTCGTTTATCTTTTTGGGCCACCCTTCAGAGTTAATGTTGCAGTTTAAAAACTGTAGTGTAAAGCACCCTTCTGGCAAGACAGTGATGGAGTGAATGATGGTGAAAGTTTTTCTTTTTCGGGCCACCCTGCCTTGGTGGGAATCGGCCAGTGTTAATAAAATAAAAAAAATAAATCTGTCTCACATGTACACAGATATAGACAGATATCCTAGGTAGTAGGTTGGTAAACAGCAACCGCCCAGGGAGGTACTACCGTCCTGCCAAGCGAGTGTACAACGAAAACCTGTAATTGTTTTACATGATGGTAGGATTGCTGGTGTCTGTCTGTCTCATAAACATGCAAGATTTCAGGTATGTCTTGCTACTTCTACTTGCACTTAGGTCACACTACACATACATGTACAAGCATATATATACACACCCCTCTGGGTATTCTTCTATTTTCTTTATAGTTCTTGTTTATTTCCTCTTATCTCCATGGGGAAGTGGAACAGAATTCTTCCTCCGTAAGCCATACGTGTTGTAAGAGGTGGCTAAAATGCCGGGAGCAAGGGGCTAGTAACCCCTTCTCCCGTATAAATTACTAAATTTAAAAGAGAAACTTTCGTTTTTCTTTTTGGGCCACCCTGCCTTGGTGGGATACGGCCGGTGTATTGAAAGAAAGAAATAGACAGATATATAGACAGACAGCCAAAGCAAGCCAGCCGGCCAGCCTGCCGAATACATAAGAACATAAGAAAGAAGGAACACTGCAGCAGGCCTACTGGCCCATGCAAGGCAGATACACATCACACTCCCTCCCCCCGGCTTAGAAAAATGACCCACCAAGTCAGGTCACATCCATTGAAGGAAGGAGCATGACATCAGACCTAGTAGCACAAGCTAATCAGGTCCACCTCACACCCACCCACACTCACTCATGTATTTATCTAACCTATTTTTACTTTCCTCTTAAAATGGGAGCATTAATCCGACATGGCATCAGTGAATCCCTGGTGTTTGCCACGCTATTTGCTCTAGCTGGCGCTCAACTGAACTGGTGCTCCCACAAGGTACTAAGTGCTCCCAGATTTTTTTTAATAGTGTGCACACCGAGTGCACAGACCCATCCTTTCATGTCTAGGCGACTCAAGCCTATTGTGCCAAATTTGAAGGAATGAAAAATAAAACGCTGATCTACGTTTGGAGCGCTGTGAGTGCAAACGTTGATCTACATTTGGACAGTTTAAAGGTTAAGAAAACCTAGGGAAAGAATGGATTTGTCAGTTAAAAACAGAGTAGGGGAGTTAGTTGATGTGGAGCTGGAGGTATTGGGTAGATGGCAGGAATATTTTGAGAAACTTTTAAATGTCAATGAAGAAAGGGAGGTGGTAATTTCATGCACTGGTCAGGGAGGTATAACATCTTTTAGATGTGAAGAAGAGCATTAAGTGGGTGGGGGGGAGGTGCGCGAGGCATTACGTAGAATGAAAGGGGGTAAAGCAGCTGTAACTGACGGATCGTGACAGAAATGTTAAAAGCAGGGGAAGATATAGTGTTGGAGTGGTTGGTCTTTTTGTTTAGTAAATGTATGAAAGAGGGGAAGGTACCTAGGGATTATCAGAGAGCATGTATAGTTCCCCTAGGTAGTAGGTTGGTATGACAGCAACCGCCCGGAAGTACTACCGTCCTGCCAATGAGTGTAAAACGAAAGCCTGTAATTGTTTTACATGATGGTAGAAGATAGAGTGGATTTTTTTGCTTGAACATGAAGATTTCAGGTACGTCTTGCTACTTCTACTTACACTTTCAACACAATACATGTACAAGGCACATATTACACACCCCTCTGGTTTCTTCTATTTTCATTTCTATTCTTATTCTGTTAATTTACCTTATCTCCATGGGGGGGAACAGATTCATTCTCGTAATGAACGGGTTGTAAGGCAACACTAAAATCCGGGAGCAAGGGCTATAAACTCTTCCTGTAATATATTATAAAGTAAAGGAGAAACTTTGTTTTTTCTTTGGGCCCCCCAATCGGTGGGAGTACGGCGGTTGTGTGAAAGAAGAAAGATGTATTCCTTTATATAAAGGGAAGAGGGACAAGAGATTAAAAATTATAGGGGAATAGGTTTACCGAGTATACCAAGAAAAGTGTACGGTAGGGTTATTATTGAAAGGATTAGAGGTAAGACAGTACGATTGCAGATGAGCGAAGAGGTTTTAGAGTGAGTGGGGGATGTGTAGATCAAGTGCTTACATTGAAACATGTATGTGAACAGTATTTAGATAAAGGTAGGGAAGTTTTCACTGCATCAACCCTCGTATTTTTGTACAATTTCCTTCTTCGATTCTATCGTATTATTATTATTATATTAATATTATTATTATTATTATTAGCAGTAGCAGAAATGTTTGATTCTTTGCTGTGTTCAAGAGTAAACACATGGTGTCACCTTCCAATACCTGTCTGAATAGCCATTCTAATATGCAGTCATGGATGGGTTGACATTATTTATACTGTAGTTTAATAGCAAATAATAAACAAACAAAACACTCACCACACAGTGGTGGGAGGGCTGGCTGCCAGTTGCAGGGGTCGGAGGGAGGGTAGTAAGGACTCGTGGCGGTAAACTTAAATATGATTTGGCAGCTGGGAATTTGGCGGTTGGGAATTCGCGAATGTGTGAAGCCCGCGAAAGTTGAAAACGCGAATGTTGAGGGAGACCTGTACTTATCATACCTTATTTATACATATGAAGTAAGCGGTTCATTAGAAGACAAGATAGGTTTGAAAGGCATTATTGAGCAGGGCAATGTGGGAACTTGTGATGCTCTATAACACTAGAGATTATACAAAGAAATATAAGTGAATAAACTTCCCCATAGCATTACAGGCTAATATACTGTGGAAGTCTGGATAATCAACTTACACAGAATTAACTTATTCACCTATTACTCTTAGCTCTAAGCCATTTTCACCAATACAAATGTTAAATGCTTACCATCTTTCCAGATCTGTACCATGAAGGGATCCTGAGAGGTCTGTAGCAGTGACACAATGTTCTCATTAAGGGGGTCCATGTTCTTCATGAGCCACTGATGGCCAGAATAGTCTACCTTGCCAGCATAATGGACGATGGCAAAGTCTGCTTTATCACGGAACTCGGACTTGCAAAACTTTGGGTGCACAGAATGGGAAGTGTTAAGTTTGTCTATGAAAGTTTTGTCTGTAGCTTTTGGGAACCAGCACTCTTCATCCAGCAAAGCCAAAATACCCATAGGCTGCAAAGAATTAAATTGTCATTTTTATTAATAATTTACAGTAAAACCTCTTATTAATGGATTTAGACAATTTCATATATTAAAAAAAAAAAAAAAAGTGAATAATTCCAGATTTTGTCCAAAGTGATAGTGTCTGATTGCCTTCTGAAGTATCAGACCAAGTCTGATAACTCCAACAACTGTGTTATGGACCTGTCAGCTTTCGTTGTTTCCCTCGAGTTATAGGCTGCCCATGCCAGTTTATTGTTTGTGATCACTTGTGCATACTTGTGTCATTCAGTCTCCAATTTTTCCTGGATTTAGAGTTTTGTGTGACCTTTATTAATATGTAGGTGCAGTTAACAACAGTTTCTAAAGCAAGTGCCGGTGTCAAGAGAAAATCTGTGGTTCTGTATTAAACAGAAAACTTGAACTAATAAACAAGGTCAAGTCTGGTATCTCAGTATCTACATTATTTTCACTAGTGGAGCTTTACAGCTCCTCTGATTCTCAATCATGGTAGTTTACACCTCATCTCTCCACCACAAAATGTTAAGTATTACTCTAAATTATGTACAGTACTATAAAATCTTTATACAGTACAGTACTGTAGTACTACAGGTCACAATATTCATATTCTTAAGCATGTGGTTATCTTCTGCACCAACAGACCACTTCCTCAGGAAACAACTAGACAATCGTGAAAATTATTTGGAAATTTTGGACAATCGGCAATATTGCACATCCCCTGCCCCCAATCAGTCCATTAATTAGAGGGTTCATTGTATTAGCGATTTCTAATATTGTAAAATATTATACAAATTTTCAACAAGTTTTTTTTTTTTTTTTTTTACCTAAACAGACATCTGCCAGGCAAGGGTGACTCAAACACACATTCACCATTCATTAAACTGGCAAACATATGCTAACTTCAGAATTCAGATTACCCTCTGACTACAACATCCTCCTGGCCCTCCTTCAGTGCAGGCACTGCCCTTCCCATCTCCAAGATTCAAAGCCAGTTAACCAGCTTCCCTGAGTCTCTTTATAAATGTTAATTTGCTCACACTCCAAGAGCACATACATTAAAAACCACTACTCTATTTACTCTTATGTAACACACTAGCTTATTGGATGCTCAAGCTCTTACAACTCAAAAGCCTGTCTTCTCCCTACCTTAACCATTCCTCGGGTGATCTCTGTCTCTCCTACATTTCACCCCATATTTATGTACCTTTTCCATCATCCTATCAATCGTCATTCTCTCTACATACCCAAATTACCTCAGCAACCCCTTGTCAGTCCTCTGTATTATACCCTTGGAGACTCAAAATCTTTTGATTTCTGCACTACAAAGTTTCTGTATGCTATTCATAATACACAATAGCATCTCTACTGCTTCTAGCTTTCTCGATGCAGTGCTCAAAACCCATTATACTCTGGTACATTCCTTTTTTTGCTTCTATAGATAAACTTTTCTTTTCACAGATGTCTCAACACTACCCTCCCCCCTTCCCAACTACTCCAATTCAATGGCTCACCTTGACTTTCAGAGACTTCTATTTGCATGTCTACTCCCAAATATATAAATATATCAACTTCCATACTGGCAAGTGACAAGTTAAGAGGCAGGGCTAGAAGCTAGGACTCAACCTCTGCAACCACATATAAGAGATAGACAAGAACAATGTTCTTTCGCCCTGCTCCATGCATGGAAACTCCCCACCCTTCATTAACATTCAATAACTCATCAAAACATCCTCTCAATCTTTCCAGTGACTATACTTCCATCTACTGTAACATCTTCCCTTCATTTTTAACTGCCAAATCCATTTGTTTTTGGACTTTCTTACCTTACTGATCTATCCAAAACAGCGTTTTGTTCACAGCAAAATATATTAATATAAAGACACCGATTCTCTCATTGGCCTTTTCTTTTTTCTCAACAAGTCGGCTATCTCCCACTGAGGTAGGGTGACCCAAAAAGAAAATCCCCAAGAATAAAATACTTTCATCATTCGAAAAGGTTGGAGGGGGAGGGTAAAGGAGGTTTTGTGGGCGAAGGGCTTGGACTTCCAGCAAGCATGCGCGAGTGTGTTAGATAGGAGTGAATGGAGATGAATGGTATTTGGAACCTGACGAGCTGTTGGAGTGTGAGCAGGGCAATATTTAGTGAAGGGATTCAGGGAAACCGGTTATTTTTATATAGCCAGATTTGAGTCCTGAAAATGGGAAGTACAATGCCTGCACTTTAAAGGAGGGGTTTGGGATATTGGCAGTTTGGAGGGATATGTTGTGTATCTTTATACATATATGCTTCTAAACTGTTGTATTCTGAGCACCTCTGCAAAAACAGTGATTATGTGTGAGGTGAAAGTGTTGAATGATGATGAAAGTATTTTCTTTTTTGGGGATTTTCTTTCTTTTTGGGTCACCCTGCCTCGGTGGGAGAAGGCTGACTTAAAAAAAAAAAAATATGCTTCAATGTAAACACTTGATCTACACCCCCCTACCCACTCAAACCCCCTTGCTCATCCACAATCCTACATTCTGTCTTGCACTTTTCCTGGTATACTCAGTAAACTTATTCCTCTAATTTTTACGATCTCTTTTGTCCCCTTTTCCTTTATATAAAGGAACTATACATGCTCTCTGCCAATCCCTAGGTACCTTTACCTCTTCCAAACATTTATTAAAAAAAAATACCAACCACTCCAACACTATATCCCCCCTGCTTTTAACATTTCTGTCATGATCAAGTCAGTTAATGCTGCTTTACCCCCTTTCATTCTAAGTAATGCCTCACACACCTCCCCCACACTCACATCCTGTTTTTCTTTACTCCTAAAAGATTGTATACCTCCCTGACCAGTGCATGAAATTACTGCTTCCCTTTCTTCGGCGACATTTAAAAGCTCCTCAAAATATTCCCGCCATCTATCCAGTACCTCCATCCCCCCCATCTACTAACTCCCCTACTCTGTTTTTTAACTGACAAGTCGATTCGTTCACTAGGCTTTCTTGTTTATCTCACTCCAAACTTTTTTTCTTATTTTCATCAAAATTTCTTGACAGTACCTCTCCCACTATCATCCGCTCTCCTTTTGCACTCTCTCACCACTCTCTTCACCTTTCTTTTACTCTCCATATACTCTGCTCTTCTTACAACACTTCTGCTTGGTAAAAACCTCTCATAAGCTACCTTTTTCTCTTTTATCACACCCTTTACTTCATCATTCCACCAATCATTCCTCTTGTACACAATATATACTCGTGGAAGCAGAGACAACACCACCCAGTTATTGGTACTTTAAAAGCTGAAAAAATATAATGTTTCAACATAATCCATATTTTTTTTTAAATATTTAGTGAACAGCTATATGTAAGTAGTTCTTGCAACCAAAACTAACCTTCTCAATGAGGTCAATTGTGGGCTGAAGATCTAGACCAAAATCAATGAACTTCCACTCAATTCCTTCACGCTGATACTCCTCTTGCTCAAGAATGAACATTGTGTGATTGAACAACTGCTGTAACTTTTCATTTGTGTAGTTAATGCAGAGCTGCTCAAAGCTGTCAATTTAAAATACAATATAAGAACTAGAGAATACATTAGTCAATTTAATTTTACTTATAAAATTGTTAATACAAGCTGCCTACCATAGCCTTCATTATGCTACTCACCTACAATTATAGCCTCTATTTTAAACTTATAAAATGAGGCATGGCAATGCAGCAAATATTTACTCAGGAAAAACAATTGAGGGTCTGCAAACCAGAATCCAAGTAGTAAAAAAAAAAAAAAAAGAACTCTTTGTATGTTTACCTATTTGTAGAAAATTCATGGCTGGTCTGTATTGTGTATGCTTGCATGCTTAATAGGTCACACGTGCCACAGTTGTTAGAACCGAGTTATGCTCATGGTGTCAAATATTCAGTATTTAGAAGAAGTTACAAGTTCCAGGGGTTCCATCAAATGTCTTGTCATTGACTCCATTCTGGTGATTATCACTATAGTATTTGAAAATATGTTTTCTACTATACTTTTGGCAGCACTTTTTAGTTTTATGGTTGTGACCTCTTTTCTCTACTGAGAATTTTAAAATCTTCACCTGTTTTCTCTTACCTTTCATCATCGTGTACGTCGAGAGAAGCATCAATTTACATTGCCAGGCTTCAAATACTGCTATATTTGATAAGACAACTTTTAAAAGAGGTGCCAGTTTCATTTCAACCACTTTATAAAGAATGGGTCACACATTTCAAATTAAAATAAAGCTTAAATTCTCCAGCTACATTCACCCCCAAGAAGTGCAAGATATCACTGCACTACACATACAGGAGATAGAACCTGGGGAAATGGGAGGCAATCAGGTTTAATTAATTGGATCAAGAGCCCCTCAGCAGCATCAAGGCAACTTTTTTGAGGAATAAGGAGGTGTATGGTGTTCCTTGGCAGATCTCAACCATAGAGCAGTTTTCTGAGAGGTAGATATGATGGTTTATTCTGACATTTTCTTATAAAACTTTCATTTTTAATGAAGATTTTTCACCACCTACAGCAGGCAGAACAAGTATGTTATCAAAAACAATACTTTTTTCTTCACAAACATTAGATGAAAACCAGAATGGGATCCAATGACAGCTAAGTGCCAAAACCACTAGAAATTTAAAAAAAAAAATTAAATCCCAAATTATACACTCAAGATGGGATATTACATCCTTTTAATTGTTAAAGAAAAATACAGAAGCAGCATTTTACCAACCTGTTCATGGCAAAGATCTCAAAACCTGCAATATCAAGGATACCAATGAAAGAGGCACCTTGACGCTTTGTGCGATCCAATGAGCGGTTGATACGCATCACAATCCATTTGAACAAGCGTTCATAGAGTGCCTTAGCAATTGCTTCCACTGCAAACTCACACTGAAAAAATGTAACCATTAGTTTCCCTACATTACAAATAATGACAAACACTATACGTATATATAGGGCTAAGCATCATCCCATGTTCTGAGTACTAAAATATCTTAAAATACATCTAGTATCTTGAATGAGAGACAGAAAGAGAAAAAAAGACAGAAATAAAGAAGTATTAACTGGCAGTGTGTCATTCTTCATGAACTTCAACATGCTGGAAAATGCAAAGTTACGATCACATTTTATTTTTCCTTGACTTATTCTTACTTGCCTTATCAAACACAAGGAAAGGATGTTATCAGGACCACTACAAGTTTTATTATTTTAAAAAACAAGCAATGGAGAAAAGAGGAAAACTTACCTGTTCTTTGTTTTGTGCCTTTGTGACTGTCTCACGACCCACTTTGATGCGTGGCTTCAAGAACCCTCTCACCAGGTCAGTCACATTTAGTCCCAACAAGTGGGCAACCTGAAAAAAAATTATTCCTCTAAGATTAATGAAAAAGTGAGTGTATATCAAAAACACATTAACTGCTGAAACCAATAATACATATGAAGATTTTACATAATCTTGTGGGAAATGCATACACTTAATACATACCTGCTGAGCAACAGTGTTGTCTGGAAGGGTAGCCTGGTCAGAGTTACGTTCTTGCTTGAATTGCATGTTGCCAAACATCAGCACAGCAGACACAGTTCTGAAGACAGCTGTAAAGAGACAATTTATTATTAACAGCACAGTTTCATGGTCAAGGTTTAAGTCATGCAGTAACAACTGTGAATGGTCATTACCACCATGAAGATAAAATACTCTTATCCAATACCTCTTCTAAAATCCATACAGCTGACAAAGGTCAAAGTGCTTCATAAACATACAAGCAATAAAAAAAAAAACTGAAATGGTAGAGTATCTTTTCCTGAAAGCAATGACACCAAAAATACAGAATTTGATGGAAAACTTCCAGAATTACATAGGTGCAAAGTTACAAGTTTGAGAGCAATTTATGCAGCGGCAAATTTGCCAAATTAGTGTCTTATTTTAAGTAAATTCCACCTCTATTTGACCAAATTCTTAGCCATTTCGCTAATATGTCTTTCGGTTGTATTGACTGAAGATAAGAAACTGCCCACTCAACTACTGAAACTACCCTATAAAGTGCACAGAAGTTGGTATAATTTGAAATTTACAAAAATTTAAAAAAATATCACCTTAAAAATAGTGGAAAATAAACAAGGCAAACATTCCTGGCACTAAAACATTTCCTCTATTAAATTTATCACGTCCCCAGGGCTCACCTATATTACACTTCCCAACCATTTTAAATTCATAATCACACAAATATTGGTATTCCGATATCTTCAGAAACCAGGCTACAGGGTGGGCAATATCATTTACACAGACTGACTACAGGTATAACACCTGGGTTATGATTTTTGCCTAGTTTCATCTCAGCAACTTGTGACATAATTTTGGCCGATTTTGAGGATTCTTCTATCTCTGCAGCCCAGCATGAGGTCAGATTTTCTTGAGGACTGCATAGTAAGTCTTGCTACTGCTGCTGCTAGTGACCTGTATACTGATATTTCTATTACAATATGGCTGATCACTTACCAGACAGTAACACAATTTTCTCTTAAGGCTTCTATATTTTTTTTTCAATGAACCGGCCATATCCCACCAAGGCAGGGTGACCCAAAACAAAAACTTTCACCATCATTCATACAATCACTGTCTTTGCAAAGGCATGCAGATATAACAGTTTAGATTTCACTCTAAACAGTAAATATCCCAAACTCCTCCATTAAAGTGCAGGCATTGTACTTCCCACCTCCAGGACTCAAGTCTGGCTAACCAATTTCCCTGAATCCTTTCACAAAATATTATCCTACTCACATTATAAAAGCTCATCAAAGCCCAAACACATTCATCTCCACTCACTCCTATCTAACATGCTCACACATACCTGCTGTTCTCATTTCTAACTATTAAACCAATCCCAATCATCTGGCAAATTTTGTTTTTAAATTCTTTAGATAAACAGCGCTTACAGGTGAACAAATATATGGTTTGATATACACAATTTTTACACTTCACTTGTGCTAGATGAGACTTCAGTGATATACCACTCTCCTAGTGTTAAGAAAGTATACTTACACTGGATATCTTCATTGTTCATGCCCATAATCTGCATAGCTTTAACTGTGGCTTGGAACTCTGCCACTTCATCCATCCCTGGCACCTGGATTTTTCCTCTGGTCAGGAAATTATAGTGCTTGGGATCTTCCAAAATGAAGTCTCCTATGGATGAAAGATTTTATGAGTATTAGGAAATAGTGAAATTAATGAGCTTATGGTTTAATTGTGGTTAGCTTCAGGATATCAAAGATACAGAGCAAAACGTGAGCACCAGATGACCAATGCTACACACTACTTCAATTACTTTTAAATATTTCATTTCTTTTAATACATGTACTGTACAGCATCGGTATTCTATAACAACATTCTGTAAACTTAAATGTTTAACTTGTTAGTGTAAAGCTTGCATCTTCAATAATTTGCTGAATGAGAATTCTTAGGCACTGAAGACTACAACAAACCCAACACAGTAAGAACTGGATAGTTCAGGTTTACTGCGCAAAACAAAAACATACTTTTTTGTTGTTGGTTAGCTCCTGCCAGCAACTGGTAGAAAATGTGGAATGTGCGTTCATCCTGTGTCTGACGAATAGCACGAGACTTTTCCAATAGGTAGGTTTCAATATTGGCACCAGCAATGTAACCAGAATTGTCAAAGTTGATGCGGATGAATTTTCCCTGCAATTTTTAAAATAATGAGTGCTTAATCAAGGTGTTTATAATTACATGGTTCTAATATAGTAATATGTAGTAGTGATGTTCTCTGAGCACTTCAATAATAAAAAATAACATCACACACACACAGAATAAACAGACAATAAAAGCAACACTTAACACAAATAAATGCTCTCAAGTTAAAATAACCAACATAAATTAAAAATGTAGTTCCAGAATGAAACTCAGCAGATAGTCTGATAATGTTCACCACAATTTAATAAAAAAGAACTCACGAATCGTGAAGAGTTGTCGTTCTTGACAGTCTTGGCATTACCAAAGGCTTCAAGAATGGGGTTAGCCTGCAAAAGTTGTGCTTCTAGCTCTCCCTGAAAAACAAATCTTCATCAGTTCAAAAGTTTAAATTTTTCATAAAATGTAGACTACTGTCATGCAAGTATCACAGATGAAAATATAACTAACTTGAAAATGATCATTATAATTTGGCAGAATACAAATTGTATCACAGCACTGTCAAGCAAACAAACATAAGCTTCTGCCATTAGCAGTTTACAATAAAACATCAAAACTTACCTCCAATAAGCTATGCTTTCAATCTAAATATATACCTTTGTGCAATAAAACTAACTAGTATTATGTTAGACAAACTGACACTGCATTATTTTCAAATTATGTAAAATTAAAACAAACATTAAAAAAAAAAACACATTTTTAAGCCCATCAGAAATATATTAAAATCTGTTGAATAACAGCAGCTGAAAGTCACTCACAGAAATAAGACTTCTTCTATTACCTCTGGTATCATTAAAATTACAGTAGTGCATTAGGGAAAAAGAGATTAATACACAACAGTTGTTCAGTAGATTACAAGACCAAAACTTCAATATATTACCAAAGCTACATTAAAGCTACACTAGTCAGTAATAACTTCCCAAAATATAAAATTAACCGACGTGTTTGTACTGCAAATAATGTGTTATCCTGCTAGACAAACAGTATGACTGATTCATAGAACATGCATTGTTCAACACTGGCTTGTGCATATAAACCCAACTAAAATGGGTGCCATCAATTGTTAGCTCTAAGTTTCTGATGACCAGAAACCACTTTTTCTTAAGGCTATAGGAATGTTAAGAATGGAGAACAGAAGGATTGTGCTAGGATAGAGCAGTAAAAAGAGATATGGCTAAACAAGAAGAGATAGGCAAGACACCTTAAATGACCTAACTATTTTTTCTTAAGAGTTCTTTGTCAGAGTGATGAGTTTTACATTAATTTCCTGCGACTCTTCTAGTGTGAACTTTTTTTTCTAGAAGTATTTCCACAAGGTAGTTATGTGCCAAGAGTGTACATAACACAAGTCACCAGTTTTGTATCTACCAATGAGTTATCAAATTTGTTTATATCATTGCCTTACAAATTACATAAATTAAGATCACTGGCAAGAAATCTATTTTATGAGCATTAAACAAATATAGAGCCATAAAAAGAAGTATAAATACAAGCATGAAATACGTGACTATTAATGCTAAGTATGTGCTTTTATAATCTGATCTGGAACCAATATGGCGTACCCGTACACACTTCAGCTGCACTAAGACTTGGCGGTAAATATCATTACTAATATAATACAACGATACTTAGTGCAGAGAATTTTTTTTTATTTTAAGTATTTTGCTCTATATAGTTCCAATACTAATATTACTATTAATGATGCTGGAACCATTACTACTATTACTACTGGTAATACTTTGATATTTACTCAGAATGCAGATCAATCATTACACCATGTACATAATATATATACATTATGTACAAAGATAATCATATTAAAATGCTGCATATTATTACAAATTGGTAGTTTCAGCACTGACTCCTTCAGTGCCTCTTGCTGAGGAATGAAAGGAAGGAATTAATGAAGAAAACAAGTGTTAAAAACTTGATGTGAAGAACAGTTCTCCCACACCGCGGTATTTTGCTCACACTACCATAGTCTATCACAACAATAATACTCCATATATTTGTTGGAATCTACTGCCAACTCCTTAAACATCAGTACACACTACTTGCATATCTAAGCCACATTACTACCGTACTGCTCAGGTAAAGTGGAAACATTAATCCAACATTAAACAAGTGCATTAATAGATGCACACAGGAATGAGGTTGTAGTGAAGAAGCAGGTTGGGTTATTGCATGGTGAGGAAAGGAGGGAGGGAGGGCTGGTAATGTGTGAGGGCAAGGGTAACATTAGTGGTGAGTGTGGGGAGTGCTGTTGGTGGTGAGTGGGGGATGAACTAAATGAATAGGGTGGTGGTGGGTGTGGTGAAGTACAAGGTAACAATGATGGTGGTAGTGGGAATGTGGTAGCGGCAAGTGTAGTGTAAAAATGTTTCATGAAAATTCTCAACTTGTTCTAAGGCAGAACATTAATTTTACCAATATCCCTTAATTTAAGCCAATTTATCAACAATTTATCAAAGTTAATGAATCATGTGTAAAATATTCTGATGGTTTAAAAGAAACTGGGAGCCATGTAGAAGCCCCATTTTAAATCATACACCCCAAATGCAAGAATAAAACAATGTTCTAGCTTAGCAGCAACATAACTTTTTATAAGATTTTAAATTATGGTAGAAATTAACTTTTTTCAGGAGAATTGGTTGCACCTCCAATCTACTTCTATAGGGAAAACACCTTTAAATGGATTCAGAAATAAAGAGATTCGCTAATTATTTTAGGTAAAACGGAAACAGTGTAATGTTGCCTTGTCCAAAAAAATAGCAATGAGCAACAGAGAATTTTTAAAACAAGGAATGCAGTGTCAAGGATTGTACATTTCAAGGCAATAGTGTGCCTTCAAATAGACATTTTTTATTCTTTTCTCTTAAGGCAGGCGAGTTAAGCGAATATATAAAGGTATTTAACTATCGACATAGAACATGAATATTTTAATATGTGACCTGACTATTTGGCCAAGTATTTTGGGAAGGGCAGAGATTTCCAAGAAGTTAGGATGTTGGTTAGTGCAATTAGGTTATGGCACGGTAGACTAGGCTAAGATAGATTTAGATTAGGTTAGGTATGGATGCTGGTTAGGTTAGATGTGTGCCATTTTTACCTGTTCTGTTTTTAACTTTATATTTCTTACTTGGCCAAAACATCCATTGGCCAAAATAATGTCCTATGACTATTTAAATTACTGGTATGACCGTGTATCACTGATGGTACTCCTCATATTTGTTTGTATTTTAATAAATACAAGCAAATATGAGAAATATCGGTGCAAGGAGGTTTTGGAAGGAACCTGACTGACCAAGCAGTCAACTATGTGTGGTCACAATGTAGGTGGTCACTAAGTGTGCCCAAGCCTTCCCCTGTGACCTAACAGGTCACAGGTGTAGTGATTCTAGTTTTGAATTTAGGGTGGGCTGGGGATTTGTCAATGGTAGAGGTGAGGGTATGATGGGAAAGGGAGCTGGTGCAGGGGGTATACAGGTAAGGTGGTGCTGGTTGAGGGCAGTTGGAAGGAGAGGGGAAGGGGATAGTTAAAAATGATGGTGCTATGTTAATACAGAGTCAAGAGCAAAATATTAGCAGTTGTGTGTGTGAAGTCACAACCATCCACATGGTGCTACGTGTACCAACACAATGAGGTTACACAACATATGAGAATTACTTTAAACATGTGATATCAACGTTACCACAATTCTTCAACGCTAGTGCCTGCAAATTCCACCCTCACACAATACTCTACAGGTGGGCACAACTGGACATGCCAAGTGAACAGAGGGCCATGATTGTAACATACACACGAGCAGACAAGCGGTGGTTAGTAAGCAAACCGTTCCTTACCGCAATGTTCTGCACTTGCGTCAGCCAGAAACACAGCAGGAGCAGCAACAGCAGGAGGCAACAGCAGGAACAGTAGAGTTGAGAGAAAATACCTCATCAATTAGACAAATATTACCTTTAACAACCTTGGCTTGGTTAGCATTGAGCATCTTCATTTCCCCTGTAACTGCAGCTTAACATGCAGCTCAACCATTTAAATATCAAGAAAAGAAATTCAGGAATAAAAAATATAATTAAGATTGAGTTATTAAAAAGATCGTGAAATATTTTAATGTATTTTTTAAATAACTAGAACAAGGTTAAAGAGAGATACTGTATATATGTACACACACAAAGGAGTACGTATGAATACGTACAAAGTATACACACACACTAGAATGGTTAAAGTTCAATAACTTGTACATATTTACAAATCTTAAGTACCGACACTTGCAGCAAACTCTTCACTACAGTACTACAAGAAACAAAATATTTATCTACAATAAATGGAAAAATATGAGAGAATGCAGGGTAGAACTCTAAGAAACACACGGGTGACAAGGGTCTTGAGAAGGAATTCAGCACACGCTCTGCTTGAAACTACTAAGAAGCTACCTTCAAAGTATCACAGGGTCGCCCAAGTTGAGATTCAAAAATAGAGCCAATACCAAGCTACACCTCTCTAGCCCACTGTCTGAATTCCCTGCTACATTACTAACAGAAATGTGCAATGATGCAGCGTAAACCGAACTTGTTACCCCACACAGAAAGACGTACACCAAAACCGTGTACAAGACTGTCTTTACCACATAGATGAACTATTTATGAGGAAGCACTAAACTCTCGTGTGTCACCCCAAGAAATTGGAGGTAATAAGGTTTAGTCTGAGAAAGAGGTGCATAGCTCCAATTCCTTGAATCAAAGCCTCTCAATGGCATCAAAGTACCCACCTTGAAGGGTTGTTTCAATGTCAAATATAAAGAAAAATAGGCAGATTAATGAATCACAGGCACACATCAAAGGTATAGCAGCAAGAGATAAAATACCTGTGACAAGCTGTGAAAAACACAGTACAATGCAAACTTTATTGGTCTCCAATTTTCCATAGTACCTTTGTGCGTGTTGTTTGGAACTTGCCAGAGTTATGTTTCACTCACACTCGTTGCTACTCTACCTGGATTATATTTCAACATAAGATGCAATTACTTATAGCCTCAGATTTTATATTAGATAGTGTAGTGTTATAGGGTAATTATACCTAACTCTGGTTCATATTATGTAACAACCAAAGGGGAGTCGAATGATAGCTCTAGGCCTTTGGGGTTGCAATCAATATCAGGAGCATGCAATGTTGCAGAAATGGGTAAGATTCATTCAGGTGGAACATTTTTACACAAATGTTCCTCTGAACGAATCTGATAGGACTTTCTACTCATTTCTGCAACATTGCAAGCTTCTGATGGTGACCAATACAAAATGCCTAGAGCTATCATTGAATTCCCCCTGTGGTTGTTTTGCATCTTGCATCAATTGT